GGGGGGGGGGGGTGGAGGGAGATCACATACAGGCCAAGAAGTCTACACTGAAATAATAAAATGAATATAAACTTCATTCTTATGGTATCTTTGTAAAGCATGGAGATGTGCAGAAGCATTTAAAATATGGAGACCACACAAAAAGGTTTCCTCAAAATGAGTTGAAATTTAGAAGAGTTCATTAGTAAAAGTATCCTCATGGAGGGTAACAGTGAAATTCCACTACTCAGAGTTACCTCTTGTGAGAGGCTACCTGAACACTTCTGTAGTCTTCTAAAAATAGGGAAATGTGACCAAAACAAAATTGGAAAAAGAAAATGTCCAGTGTTATGAGTAGGAGATGCCAGAGAAAAAGATAAAGAAAAGAAGAAGCAAGGAAGCTATGGCCATAGCCTAGCATTTAGTGCAGGGATAAGAGCCAGGCCTGGGCTCAAGAGATTCAAGACCACGGAGTAATGGGATGCTTGGATATAACTGGAGAAGAAAGAAACTTAGATTATAATTATAAATGAGATTAGCAAAACCTTAATGGTGAACCCAGGAAGTTTTTATATTTAATTGTTGGTGGTAAGGCATCAAACTGGATTTGTACTTAAAAAAGAAATGGGAAGAAAGTGAAACTACTAGGTTGCAGCTTAAGACACTTAACCCCTTTTGGCTTCAATTTCATGTCTATAAAACTAAAAGAGATGGACTCTCTTTTACTATTTTTTACTCTCTTTACTATCTTTTAGTGCTTTGAAATTTTAAGACTGTATAAAAGACTATTGAAAAGCTATGAGAACAAAAAGTGAAATGGGATTATAGATGTAATTTACAGATGGGTAATGTGAAAGGGATATTTATCTTCATGGATATGTCATATCCATATTTTTGTACCTTTATAAATAAACACAATTCCTGTCCTTAAGGATCTCAAAATCTATCTATAAGAATAGACCAGTATTACAGGTAAATAATCTTTAAAAATATGGATGAGTTTGTTCTTTAGAGCATGTTAATGCTGTTATACTTTTAATTTGCATTAAGAAGAAAACTTAAGTTTCTATCTGGCTGCTTTCCCAGCTACCCCAAATACCAAAGTGGGAGGGCCCAACTGATAGAACTTTATGGTATTTACTCAGATCATTATAAACCCTTGACAGCCAAGCCAATGAATTGTAAGGAGTGCACTGAGGAGGTCTTTGATCACTAAAAGAGCAATAATGATCAGTACATATATTACTTTTATCAAATTAAACATTTCATCAAAAGTTTTGTTTTTCTCTAAAGTTTAGATAATAAAAGAAACGCTTTTACAAAGTATTTATAAATGACAAAACATCCAAAGCAATACTCAGAGGAGATAGGTTTAAGGGAAAACAATGAGAATTTTGTTCTTAATTTTACAGAGATTAAACATAAAAATTCAGAATAAGCATATGCTTCAGACAACTAGAACAGATCTAAAGCAAATCTTGAGAAAGTCATAGGATCACGTCAAGTTCATAGCAGCAAAAACATCCTATTATTTCCTTAAACAGATAAGAATTTTCCTGGTAGGCTAGTCCAATCTATTGCCAATCACTACCAATAAGAAATGGAGTCAAATCAAAACCAAAAACATGCTCAAAATCTCTCAAGAGAAAAAGCACAGGACATATGTGTGTCTCTTGAGGAAGTGATATGCTGTAATCATATGTATGCTTGATTCCAAAACCATAATATCATTCCATGTTATTTTAAATATAATCCCTACCCATTATAATGAGAATATAGTAGTTCTTCCTATCAATGTAAAAAGTATATACATGCACAGAAATAAGTGTAAAACAAAACTCCAAAATGTTAAGTGTTTCTGGTTAAAATAATTACAGGCTTTTTGAAAGTTTTCTTCTTAATGTGATTTGATATTTTTCCAAATTTATATGAGTATTTTAAAAAGTCATGCCCACTGAAAGGAAACTGTAATTTTAAAAAACGTAAACTTCATTTTAGTTTAAAAATAGTACACCTAGATTTATTTATTTAACAATTATGCATCTAGATTATTTCTCTATCTTATCAAACTTGTAAAATGAACAGCAAACTTTATGAAGAAAAAAAGTATTAGTAATGTGTCAGGTGAATATCTAGCTTAACTTAAGTGCATTTATTTAGTTTAGTTCTCAAGATATCTTAATGAAGAACTGACCTACAATCTAAAAATCTTTTACTGAGAGAAAACTATACAATTAAAGTGGACAACCCTATTACTACGTTTAAAACATCAAACTATCCATGCTCACGGATTGGAAGAATATTGTTAAAATGTGGATACTACCCCAAAGCAATCTACACATTCAATGTAATCCCTATGAAAATAACACCAGCATTCTTCACAGAGCTAGAACAAATAATCCTAAAATTTATATGGAAGTAGAAAAGATTCTGAATAGGCAAAGCAATGCTGAAGAAGAAAACCAAAGCTGGACACATCACAATTCTGGACTTCAAGTTGTATTACAAAGCTGTATCAAGACAGTATGGTACTGGCACAAAAACAGACCATAGATCAATGGAACAGAATAAGGAGCCCAGAAATGGACTGCCAAATGTATGGCCAACTAATCTTTGACAAAGCAGGAAAGAATATCCAATGGAAAAAAGCCTCTTCAGCAAGAGGTGTTGGGAAAACTGTACAGCGACATGCAGAAGAATGAAGCTGGACCACTTTCTTAGGTTCTTAGATGAAAGACCTAAATGTAAGACAGGAAACCATCAAAATCCTAGAGGAGAAAACAGGCAACAACCTCTCTGACCTTGGATGCAGCAACTTCTTACTTGATATATCTCCAGAGGCAAGGAAACAAAAGCAAAAATGAACTATTGGAACCCCATCAAGATAAAATGCTTTTGCAGAGCGAAGGAAACAATCAGCAAAACTAAAGGCAGCCGACAGAATGGGAGAAGACATTTGCAAATGACATATCAGATAAAGGGCTAGTATCCAAAATCTATAAAGAACTTATCAAACTCAACACCCCAAAAACATATAATCCAGTGAAGAAATGGGCAGAAGATATGAATAGACACTTGCCCAAAGAAGACATCCAGATGGCTAAAAGACATATGAAAAAATGCTCAACATCACTCATCAGGGAAATCCAAATCAAAACCACAATGAGATACCACCTCACACCTGTCAGAATGGCTGAAATGAGCAACTCAGGCAACAAGAGATGTTGGTGAGGATGTGGAAAAAGAGGAACCCTTTTGCACTGCTGATGGGAACACAAACTGGTGCAGCCACTCTGACAAACAGTACGGAGGTTCCTCAAAAAATTAAAAATAGAACTACCCGAAAACCCAGCAATTGCACTGCTAGGTATTTATCCAAAGGATACGGGACTGCTGATTTGAAGGGGCACATGAACCCCAATGTTTATAGCAGTACTATCAACAATAGCCGAAGTATGGACAGAGCCCAAATGTCCATTGACTAATAAATGAATAAAGATTTGGTATGTGTGTTTGTATAAACATACATAAGTACATACACATACATACATACAATGGAATATTACTCAGCTAAAAAAAAGAATGAAATCTTGCCATCTGTAATAATGTGGATGGAAGTAGAGTATTATTATGCTAAGCAAAATGAAGTAGGTCAGTTAGAGAAAGGCAAGTATATAATTTCACTCATATGTGGAATTTAAGAAACAAAACAGATGAACATAAGGGAAGGGAAGCAAAAATAATATAAAAGCAGAGAGGAAGACAAACCATAAGAGACTCTTAAATACAGAGAACAAACAGGGTTGCTGGAGAGGTGCTGGGTGGGAGGATGGGCTAAACGGGTGAGGGGCATTAAGGAGGACACTTGCTGGGATGAGCACTGGGTGTTAGATGTAAGTGATGAATCACTAAATTCTACTCCTGAAATCATTATCACACTGTATGTTAACTAACTTGGATTTAAATTAAAAAAATAAAAACATCAAACATCAAACTAACATGAAAGACTGAGAACTTCCCCACACAATTCAAAATAAACACCTTAAAGCTTTTTTCTATATACAGTTGTCAACACAGAGATAAAAGCACTTCTCTTTAACATATGACGTCATTTAAACAAACATATGATTAGAAAAAAGCCAATTGTATGATTAGAGGAAATAGTAAAAAATTGCATCCAATCACTTGTTTAACACGTACTGAATCAAATGTATATAAGGCACCATGCTTATGTTCTAGAACAGAGACCAAAGGAAACATGGTCTCTGTTTTTTTGGAACTTCTATTCCCATGCGGCAAAGATAATCAAAGATTTCCAGCTATAAAATTAACACATATATAGCAAGTATTTCTTTACTTAAGGTTAGGAAGAACTGTAGGATTTTATGGGCAATCATGACTTGAGGGACATTACCTAGTACAGGGAATCAAAGATGCATCCTTGTAGAAACAATATTCACGTTCACCTCTAAAGCATCAAGGAGTAATTACAGGTAATCTGGGGTTTTTTTCCTCCAGACTTTAAGGTTTCACCCCAGAATTCTTCAGTTTTATCTAATTCTACCAAAACCAGTAATTCTGATATATATGATAATAATGACAGAGAAAATCAACATACATTTTTAAAATTTAATTCTCACTGAAGGCCATTTTATCATTAGGAGTTTAAAAATCAACCAAGGGCCATAAAAACAAAATGCTGTGTTTGGGGTAGGAGAGAGTAATGCCACTGATTTTAAGAGAAAAAATTTAAATTAAAAAAAAATTTACCTATTAAAAAAATTTTTTTAATCTTTATTTATTTTGAGAGAGAGAGAGAGAGAGAGAGGGTATAAGCGGGGAAGAAAGCGGGAAAGAAAGAAAGCAGTGCAGAGCCTGACACCAGGCTTGAACTTGCGAATCATGAGATCATGACCTGAGCCAAAGCTGAACGTTTCACTCATGGAGCCACCCAGGAGCCCCTACCTATCTTTAATAATTCTATCTGATAAATATGGCAGAACATAGCAGATCTGTATTATGGTTACGTACCGAGTTAAAGAAAAAGTAATACAACAGATTGGTGGTTGCAGGGTGAAGGGAGGTAAAATGGATGAAGCAGATCAGAGTACAAACCTCCAGCTGTAAGTCATAAAGATGTATTATACAGCATGGTGACAATAGTTAATACTGTGTTGCATATTTGAAAGTTAAGAGAGTAGATCTTAAACGTTCTCATCACAAGAAAAAAAATGTGTAACTATGTACAGTGACGGCAGTTAACTTATTATGGTGATCATTTCCCAATATTTACTAATATCGAATCATGTTATATGCCCAAACCAACATAACGTTATGTCAATTATATCTAAAAGAAAGAAAGAAAGAAAGAAAGAAAGAAAGAAAGAAAGAAAGAAAGAAAAAGAGAGAAAGAGTAATGATGGGAACAAAGAAAAAAGGATAGAGTTCCTATTCAAAGTATAAAACACACAGAAGATGGGGTGCCTGCTGGGTGGCTCAGTTGGTTAAGCTGAGTCCTGACTTCGGTTCAGGTCATGATGTCACAGTTCATGAGTCTGAGCCCTACTTCAGACAATGCTCCCTCTCTCTCAAAATGCACACTGCACAGCCTGCTTGGGATGCTCTCTCTGCCTCTCCCCTGCTCGTGCGCATGTGCGCTCTCTCTCTCTCTCCCAAAATAAATAAATTAAAAAATAAAATAAAAAACACAGAAGAAAACACAAAAATATAGACAGATGTCCCAACATACCAAAAAATACACACATACATTAACTGCCACATGGTAACACTTCTATCCTCTGACCATTAACATTAAAGATTTTTCAAAGAAGTGCTGAATTTTTTAACTAGAATGTAACTACAGACTAGATGATATTAAGTACAGGCTAAGAGGTTCCCTACTGATGACATAAATGAATCACATCAACTAAGAAGAAAAATGTCAAATATAATCATGAAATACATCTTTAAACAGATTTTCAGTTCAGATTATAAATAACAGTGCTCTTCACTGTTTCACAACAGTATTTCAAAAGCAATCATTTAAATCACATAGCATATAATTTAACAATAGGGCAACTTTAAATATTACATAGTATTATAATCTGCTAAAAATGGTCTTCAAAACATAATTCCCTGATCTCAGAAATACACGCTTTAATGTTAGTTCTGATGTTGTGAACTGAAAACAGAAATGAATACATGATGAGCTTTGTTTATACTGTATTTATAAGTTCTGTTCCTACCTGCTATCAATAGGATCTTATAAATTTTCAAATGCATGAACTCTGTCAGATAAGAGATGAGGCTGGTTTGCTGCTTATCCTCTTTTTTATTTATTATATAAATATGTACCTTAGAATGGATGAGTATTTTTGTCCATGTCAACCTTACCTTTTAGTACACCTCAATCATAAGGAAAAATCACTTAAATTACAATTTACATCACAAATCAAGAACTATGAAATAATTAACAGCAAAACTTCATACAAAGATATGTATATAATAAGCATCTGAAATAGTTAGGGTTGGGTTGGGGTTAGGGAAGAAAGAGGGGAGGGAAGAGAGAAGGGAAGTGGGAAGGGAAATGTAAAACATAAACCACTGAATAAGGTGACTTAACCAAGAACTCACTGTTACAACCAACTTGAAAAACAACTGTTGGTAAAAACAATGTCTTTGTTATGGAGCTGTAATCTCTTAGATGGACTCCTCATGCCCAGATGCAATTCAGTGAGGTTAGAAAGCAGTTTGACTTTTTAAAAGAAAACTCTCTGCCAACCTATATGTAAAGTTGAGGAAGATAATTAACATCTCTAGGTCTATGCTCTTGTTTCTAACTGGAGGGACTGTAGGGCACCTGGGTGGCTCAGTCGGTTAGCCTCTGACTCTTGATCTCAGCTCACGTCATGATCTCATGGTTGGTGAGCCCCATGCCAGGCATCTGCACTGATGGTGCAGAGCCTGCTTGGGATTCTCTCTCTCCCTCTCTCTCAAAATAAATAAATAAACTTAAAAAAAAAGAGCAGCTTAACTGGAAGGACTATAATCTAAATTACTCTCAATGACTCAAATTTTATTTCATGAAGTCATAATCTTTTTTTTTTCTTTTTTTTTTGAACGTTTATTTATTTTTGGGACAGAGAGAGACAGAGCATGAACAGGGGAGGGGCAGAGAGAGAGGGAGACACAGAATCAGAAACAGGCTCCAGGCTCTGAGCCATCAGCCCAGAGCCTGACGCGGGGCTCGAACTCACGGACCGCGAGATCGTGACCTGGCTGAAGTCGGACGCTTAACCGACTGCGCCACCCAGGCGCCCCCATGAAGTCATAATCTTAAAACAAATGAACAAAAATTTACATGCCTAACATGTACAAAGAAAGGAAGACAGACATGGTAAAAAATTTAATCCTATTCAAATATACTATGAACATCCTACTTTGCAAAAGCAGCAGAAGTAAAGACAATGAAGACTAGAAGAAAGACAAAAATGAAAACTGCTATTATGTCAGGACTGGGATTTTCTTCTATTTTCCCTTATTTTCTAAATTTTAAATATTATATTATACTTTTTAAATACTAAGTCTATGTAATAAAAATTGAGATTTATATGAGATAGAAAGGAACAAATGAAATACACCAAGACACTTTTCTCACTTTTAAAACAGACTGAATCAATCAGCACATAAGGGATATACCATATACAGTACAAACTGCTATATAAGCTTTTCTTTAAATTATAATAGAAGTTGTATGTAAAATTGCAGGGAATAAACTTTATTAACAATATATTTTTGGGGGTGCTTGGGTGGCTCAGTCAGTTAAGCCTCTGACTTCGGCTCAGGTCATGATCTCATAGTTTGTGAGTTCAAGCCGCATGTCAGGCTCTGTACTGATGACAGCTCAGAGACTGGAGCCTGCTTGGAATTCTGTGTCTCCCTTTCTCTCTCTGCCCCTCCCCTGCTCATGCTCATTCTCTCTCTCTCAAAAAATAAACATTAAAAAAAAAAAAGAGGAAACAAATCGTGTTTTTAAAAATGTCTTTCCAAAAGCATATCTAATTAAAAAAAAACACATAAAAAAGGCATTAATAAATGAATAACGTATTCCTCTATTTTTGAAAATAATAAAAACTTGTTTTGTTCATATATAATCTTCCAAAATTATTCAATTTACTTTAGGACTTGTAAAATCAAAATAGTATAACACAAAAACTAACCTTACATAGGGGACAGGGTCATTCTGAATCATATTAAGTAGCCATTGCAGTTCTTCGTAACTCCGGTCCACTGAAAATAAAAATAAAGAAATATTTTATTTATTTATTATTTTTATTTAATTTAAATCCAAGTTAGTAAGTTAGTTAACATATAGGATAATAACAGTTTAAGGAGTAGAATTTAGTGATTTATCCCTTACATACAATGCCCAGTACTCATCCCAACAAGTGTCCTCCTTAATGCCCATCACCTATTTAGCCCATCCCCCCACACTCCTCCCCTCCAGCAACCCACAGTTTGTTCTCCTTATGGTTTGCTCCCTATTTTTATCTTATTTTTCCTTTCCCTCCCCTATGTTCATCGGTTTTGCTTCTTAAAGTCCACATGAGTGAAATCATGTATTTGTCTTTCTCTAACTTAAGAAATATATTTGCTTCTAATTATAACAAATGAAATAGTAAGGGACAAGGAGGGAATTTACACTTAATATTTAGGGCTATGCCTTAGCCGTCTTCAGAGTTGAAAGCTGTACGCAACTTCTTACATTTTCCGTAGGAAAAGTCACTTTGTAAATTTCATTCATTCATATAGCCAAAACGTAAAACAGAACCAAGTGCATATTTTTCACTAATGTTCAAATCAATGACAAGTACAAGATAAAGCAAATTATATTAAAAACCCTAAATTATTTTTTTCTTTTTTTTTTTAAATTTTTTTTTTTTTCAACGTTTATTTATTTTTGGGACAGAGAGAGACAGAGCATGAACGGGGGAGGAGCAGAGAGAGAGGGAGACACAGAATCGGAAACAGGCTCCAGGCTCTGAGCCATCAGCCCAGAGCCTGATGCGGGGCTCGAACTCACAGACCGCGAGATCGTGACCTGGCTGAAGTCGGACGCTTAACTGGCTGCGCCACCCAGGCGCCCCTAAAAACCCTAAATTAAAGATGAGCAATTCTAAATGGAAAAATATGTTTAAATAAAACTGTGTTTCTAGATGTTTAAATCAAATTATAGGGAAACTTGATACCCAATGGCACCTCAACTATATTACAGTATACAATATGAAAAACTGTTTTTACCCAAGTGGTTTCTTTCACTTGAGACTAAAGAGCAGCCTTAACTTTTCAATATAACATAAAATCGTGCTATAAATATACCTCAATAAAGTCATTCGTTAGCTATTTCCATTCACCTTTTCAACAAGTTATGCTTTTATGATTTGAAAAGCTTTATTATCAGAATTTTATTTCTAATATCTTCCATTTTTTTACTTTCTAATGATCTAGATTCATGGATAACACCAAAGCACTTCTCAATTAAGTACTTATTGACTTAGCATTCTTTTGGAAATGACAATATTAGCATTCTATTTCATTTCAGGTAGTACTAATGCATGAAATCTTTGTAGTTATTTGACAGTAAACATCACTCATGTCCCTTAGGAAAGGTTGGAAATACTGGAATATTTGGTAAATCTCAGAACTTCTAGATTTCACAAATTGGCAAAATGTCAAATCAAAACTGAAGATTGATAGAGGGATAGAGGATCACTGTTTTTCACCACTTCTTAAAAGAAAGAATTATTTTAACCCTCAATAAAAAGAACAAATGACTGTCCTTTCTGAACTTAGCTCAACATATATAAGATACACACTTTGTTCTTACCCTTTTATAATTTGACTATACACATACTTCTGAAATTTACAAAAAAATTATAAAAATTTGAGTATATTTCTTCTATTAACATGTTAAAATTAACCACTCCTTCTCTTTCCATAGTCAGATGAGAAGTACAACACACTCTACCTTCTTTACTCTTCCCATATTTAGGTGCAATAATCTGAAATTCTAGATGTAAATTAAAATGACATATTTCTTATATTTGCATTTTGTTTTTTAGGAATTATTTTTGAAGTTTCCATTAAATTGTCCAACCATGTTAACAAATATTTAGGCTCAGTTCTTTTTTTTTTTTTTTTTAACGTTTATTTATTTTTGAGACAGAGAGAGACAGAGCATGAACGGGGGAGGGTCAGAGAGAGAGGGAGACACAGAATCTGAAACAGGCTCCAGGCTCTCAGCAGTCAGCACAGAGCCCGACGCAGGGCTTGAACTCACGGACCGCGAGATCATGACCTGAGCTGAAGTCGGACACTTAACCGACTGAGCCACCGAGGCGCCCCTCGGCTCAGTTCTTTATTTTACAGGCATAGTCACATTTCACACTTTCACCAATCTTGAGTTATAATGTGATTCACTTCCAGGTCAGCTGGGAATTCTCTGGGAATTTTAAGAATGTTACATAGAAGATGTACATCTAAGTCTTTAATCTAAGTCTACGTGAGTAACAATTGGGCAAAAAAGAGAATGCAGGATTGCAGTTTTCCCTAAACATTATGTTAGCTATTTGTTTATGGTCTTTTGAACTCTTCATATTGTGAAGAAGTCACAGGTTACATTATTCTTCTATTCTATATAATAACTGAGTTCTGATATTCCTAAGAACTTACACATTCTTTCCCTAACCTTCAAATTTTAAATTTTATCAGACTCTGGCTTAGGAAGTTTCATTCATACCCTTTCTTAGTACTCTATTAATTTTCTGGATTATTGCTTTTCTTCTACTCGCTCTATTCTTTATGACTTATTTTTAATATTTTCATCTCTTTATTTTTCTGCCCTGTATCTTTTTAAATGTTTTGGATATATAATATTGTTTTATTCACTTTTTGGTCTTATGTTTTCTTCAACTTCACAAAGCCTTGCCTAATCCCCCTATGGAGACTTCTGTGTACGTATCTTGTTCTACTTTCACAAACTTTTGAAAGGCACAAGATGTTTTCTTGAGTGCTTAATTAGAAATTTCCCCAAAATCTTCTTCTAGTTTAATAACATGGAATTAAACCTATAGAATGATACACTGATTTCTTAAAAGACCAAAGATATCTGTAATTTTATTATTTTCTATCACTTATTAATTCTTATAAAAGTTCTACATTTATCAAAAATTCTTTCAATTTAAAATTTAAATATCTCATATTGTTTGTAATATGCAACCCCAATAATGAAGACAGTTTTAAATAGTAAACATTTCTGAAATGATATGAGCATATACATACACACACACACACACACATTTATTTATTTAGAGAGAGAGAAAGAGAGAGAGAGAGAGAGAGAGAGAGAGAGAGCATGAACTGGGGAGGGACAGAAAGGGGGGCAGTGGGGGAGACAGAGGATCCAAAGCAGGTTCTGTGCTGCCAGCAGAGAGCCCAATGCAGGGCTTGAACTCAGGAACTGTGATACCATGTCCCGAGCTGAAGGCAGACGCTTAACTGACAGAGCCACTCAAGGACCCTGAGCATATATTTCTAAAGCATTACCTTTAGTATAATCAACGACTGCTTCCAAAGCTGCTATCCTAATGTCCACAAAGTGTCCATACTCGGCATAAGACTTAAAAAGAGCGGGATCACTTGGCACATGTCCATTCTTCTGAAGCACTCTTATGGCTCTCAAACAACTAGGAAACATAGTATTTACAGTTAAATATTTTTATAAAAGTATTTTGTATCAAACTTATTTCCCAGGCATTAGGAATTAATCTCTAACAGTAAACTGAAACACTGATATGATTTGAATCCATCTTTTTAAATTTTGTAGCATTAATTTTTTGCAGTAATTTAGTCGATAACATATATGGAAAGTGAGAACTAGTGGTGATGTCTGAACCAGTGAATCAACTTTTTAGCAAACTCCTAAAAAAATAGAATTTTTTGATAGCCATTTATGAACAAGTTGACAGAAGTGAAAAGGCATCTAAATAAGCTTAACAACAGAGATGTTTATACTATATCCAATGGGATAAAAAGAGTATGCAGACATCCAAAATAATGCTTATGAAGAACTTATGAAGACATGACAAAGTGTTTATGATATAATTCAAAAACTACATATACGACATCTGTCACATAATTAAAAAATGTATTTAGTTACAAGAGGAAAATTTTAGAAGGCTATTCTCCAAAACAGTAATAATCTGTGATGGTACAATCATATAGCATTTTAATTTTCTTTTATATCCTAAGTTCCTACAATGAGAATAAATTTCTCTTATAGTTATAAAAGCAAGTAACTTTCATCATACCTGACAGTGATAGTATGTCTATAACTTGGAAGAAGTTTTTCCATATTCAAAAACCTGGTGATTTCTTCAAGAATAAGTCGCACATCTGGATTTAAGTTGTCCAAAGTTCGAACTTCATTATTCACACTGACTGCAGGCGTAACAGAGTTGGCAAGGGCATCAATCATTTCTGCACGATAATAATTATCTGAAAACTAAGCCAAAAATGATCACGAGAAAACAAAATTCACACTTCTGTTCAAAAATTAATAAAATATTTACAACTTCAGAACGTAACTTATCTGAAAAGACAAGCAAGTTCTCTGGGAATTATTTATGCCTTTTGTGTAGTTGTACATTGGGAGAAAGAGTGAAAGAGACTCACTAATTAGTAATACATTAGTTTACTCAACTAGTATTTACCACATGTGAGGCACTCTTACAGTCACCTAGCTAGATTCCTCTACAAGGAAGACAACGCTCCACGAATGCTACTGGTAACACAGAACTTGAAATCAGCTATTAACTCTACTCTTACGTATAAATTTATAATCAAGGATCACCAGATATTAGGAAAGCATCAACATAAAAAAGAAAGACCAGAACAAACAAAAGGTAAGAAATAATTTAGTGGAAAAAGAGTTTGCAAGGAAAAGAAGGGAAAAAAATCCCAAAACTATCATGAACATCATTTGAGAAATAACTAATGGTATGCCTTCCAATAGCATAACATATTTTAAATGTTTTTATAGCTTATTTACTTTTGAGAGACAGACAGAGGCAGAGACAGAGCATGAGTTGGGGAGGAGCAGAAGGAGACACAGAATCCGAAGCAAGCTGTCGGCACAGAGCCCAACACAGGTCTCAAACTCCTGAACAGTGAAATCATGACCTGAGCCGAAGTCAGGCGCTTAAGGGACTAAGCCACCCAGGCGCCCTGCAATAGCATAACATATTTTAAAAAGAAAGAAATATGCAGAGATTCAGAATCAAAGTAAATTGGAATATAACAGTGCGAAAAAAACTCCTGAAATTCTAAGCAAAAAGGCAGATCTAAAGTAGAGAGAAAAGGAAAGTAGAGGGCTGATGTAGAAGACATACAAATGCGAGTTCTAGCAAGAGAAGGCAGAGAAACAGGACAACCATCCAAAAAATACTAATTTCTAAATCCATATCCCAGTCAATTCCCAGAGAAGCAATGTATTGAAAGGCAATCTGGGTGTAGCTTGATTTAAACTCAGCAAATCAGATACTTTAGCCTAGGAATTTGAATATGGAGCAAGCAAATTCAATTTTATCATTAGTGTTGGGAGTATGCTGTGGCAACGCAAGCTACCAGGAGACAGAAGAGGAACAACTGCCCCTGTGACTTCCACCATGGAGCCAGAAGGCCACAGGGACATATGTAATGACAGAATCCCTACACATTCTATGTTTAGATACTGGGCAAAAAAATAAAATAAACAAATAAAAAAAAAAATACTCCACACCTGTTCACTCTGAACAAAGTTTTGTTTTCAAATCATTTTAATGACTGCAAAATTAATCACTGAAGCTTCAGTCTCGAAGTCCTATTTCTTTCCTCCAGGGCCAGAGAAAACAGTCATGGACTTACGTCATGCTAATTTTGTTTTAACATTCTGCATTTATCAACTTTTTATTTTCCAGGTTCTAAGCCTTGTTTCAAATTCTGAAAGACGATTTCTTTTTAAAAAAAAAATTTTTTTTTTAACGTTTATTTTTGACAGAGAAAGAGGGAGAGAGACACAAGATGAGCAGGGGAGGGGCAGAGAGAGAGGGAGACATAGAATGTGAAGCAGGCTCCAGGCTCTGAGCTGTCAGCACAGAGCCTGAAGCGGGGCTTGAACTCACAGACCACAAGATCATGACACTCAACCGACTGACCCACCCAGGCACCCCACCCCGAAAGACCATTTCTATTCAGAGATTATTCAAATTATATTTATACATTTTCTTCAAGTATTCTGATCGCTTCGTTGCTACCTCTGATAACTACTTTGCCAACCAAGCAGGAGCCCATTTATTTAACTGTTGTTTCTGACCAAAGTATTCAGATCACAGAAATAACTTACAAATTAAAAATGACATGGAAGCGTGGGTGAAGGAGGAAAACCAAGATTTAACATTTATCCCTCAGACCACATCCAATTCTCACAGCTACTATAATCTTAATTGAACAAGCGAGATAATCTGATCACCTCAAGGTTTTAAGAGATGAGGAAGAAGAAGTAATATGTAGAACACACATGGGGCAGCAGACATTCAAATACAGCAAAAATTCCTTAAAAAACAAAAAAACCCAAAGGCATCAATATCAGTGTGTTACAGCAAAGACTGTCGGATGTTAACAATGACCCTTTGGAATCAGGAATAGTTCAACCCATTTCTGTGTACCACACTTGAAAAACAGAAATTTCAGAAACATGTGATTTATTAGAAATACGAATATATGCATAAAAGATTATCATATAAAATGGCTAATAACTAGGCTTCAAAGGGATTAAATTTTAGTCTTCTTGAAAACTAACTCATCCGGAATACTGAATTTTATGTTCTGCCAATTAATGAGATGTTGAAAAATTTTTTTAAATATTTCCCCCCCGCCGCCCCGACTCTCAACTTCTTTTTGGCATTTAATGTTTTGTATCTCTAATTTTACTTGTAGAAACCCTGTCATTTCTTCTCATGCACTTTTAAAATTTTATATCTATGTAGTGAAACTTAAAAAAAAAAACAAATCCTTAAGCAAAGCCCTCAGTAATAAATCATTTGTGGTTGGAAGTGAGGTGCTTTAAAAAACAGATAAAACGATTGATGCAATATTCTTAGGGATCCATCTAATCGCAACTGTTCTTAAAATTTTCATCCATTAATCTATAGATCTTTAAACGACAACCAAGTCTTTTTTTCCCAACTGCAATTTTTAACAGAATAAGTTTTGATATCAGACAGATCTGGGTTTAACTCCTGGTTCAACTCCTGGTTCTGCCACACACGTGACCTATTACCCTAAGTAAATCTTTATTAGCTTCTATCTCCTCACATGTAAATTGAGATAATAGTATCTATCTCACACATCTGATGCTAATCTTAATTTATTGCCACTAACCATAACACCTGATTAGCCTGCTCAAGATTAAAACAGATTGAGTCTTACATTGTTCTGCGAAAAATAATGAAGTATAAAGTTTAGTAATCTATCACTATGCTGCACCTTAAAAAATCATTAATGACATATATGATTGCATCATGTAAAACAGCACGGTATACTAAAAAGATCGCCACACAGATGGGCAGCAGCAGCACATAGCACAATTCCCAGATTATACTTGCTGTGTAATCTTAGACTCTCGACCTCCGTGGTTTGCTTTCATTTGCCAACTACAGAATAAGTAAGGTTTAAAAGAATTAAGGTAAGTGAAATCACTTCACAAAGTACAAGTACTGTACTGGGGCCACCATGATTTAAATTACATAAACACCCCCAAAACAAGAAAACTGACATAAACAAATGCACAAAGTATTTCCCCATTCCATCTTAATATAATCTGATTTGATATCATCCAAAATCCTAACGTTGTATCTTCAGTAAAAGAAATTCATGTGCTGAAGAAAGGAATGTTATAAATGACAAGTCAAAACAAATCAGTAGACTAGGAACAAATCTTACAAAAATTTTTTAACAGTATTCAAAAATGGAAAGAAAAAGTCTATCAACTATAATGTACTTTTAAAGCACTGATTTTTTTTAAAGATTCTTTTTAGCTTAAATCTTTGTTATTCTACTATGCTGAGGAAAAATTAGTCTTCTTGACTTTCGTTAATAATCACCATTTTTAATAAACATACTTATCACTTTTTCTTTACTCTTGTAATGTCTCATTAAACTTTCCATGAATTTGACTTATCCTACCAGATACATGTTTATATATCCTGTTCCCTCTTCCTAGAATAACCTTCCAAGACTGTCCCCATTCACAGACTGGGAAAAATCCTATTCATCTTTATGACTCAGTTTGAGGGTCATCACTTACATATAAAACTTCCCTGAGTCACTCTCTATAGCCTTGGAAGGTACCAGAAAACCAAATTCTCCTAGAAAACTGTGTATATGTATTTCCACTATGGATGACTGTTGCTGTTTTACTTGTCTGATTTCTCCATCAGGTGGAATCTGTGAGGGTCCAGAATCAGACTGGGATATACAGCAGTTGATCACTAGATATTTAATGAATAAATGAAATTCTGGACAGCACTTACCATCTCTTCCTTCTATTTAAACACAGTACACTGCCTAGCATAGCATATAGCCTCAAAAACATATGCTGATTGTTATAATAACAAGATAAAATGAATAGCACTCAATAGCTGTTTGCAAATAAATAAATTAATAAACACATACTGTGCTAAAAAAACAAAAGAGTTAAATTCATCAATGAACAAGTTATTCCAAGAGGAAACTGTTTTCTGTGCATCCCATGGTAAAAGAAAAAAGGAATAAAAATAAAATTGGGTTGTCAGACTTCACCAAAGCAAGTTTTACTTGGCTCCCTTAAGTTTGATACACTAATAGCTCCATCTTATAACAGGTATGAGGAACATTAAAAAAACAACAACAAAAAAAAACCCAAAAAACTAATCTTGGGTTGTTTTCCACTGGTCATTGTAATAAATCACATTTGTATGTTTCTAACTGTAGAAATTTTAAGTACCATGGACTCAACAATGATTTCACAGTCTAAATATTCTTTAAAAATCAAACATCACTAGGCAGGTTTTATAATATTCATTAAAGTATCTTACCTTATTTTTTCTGTTGTCATTGTACTTGATTAAGTCTAAAATGAACGTTAAGACTTCTTTGGGACAAAGGTTGTGAACATCTCTCAATAAAGCCATTGCAACTGGCATAGTCTACAAAAAAACAAAAACAAAAACAAACTTTTTTAAGCATATAACCTAACTCTTTCGTTACTACAATTCACTGAAATATCTGGATGGAGCCTAACCCAACCCTTCTAATTCCCACCCCCTCCCACTGAGAACATGGACACTGCAACCAAAGAGCCGAGAAGCAAACCAAGGGAACTGCACTCTGTCACCTGTGCACCTTTGTCTTCATTTGTTAAACTATAGGTAATATAAGTCCTATAAATCCAGTGGAAAAGGAAGAGGTTTTAACACCAGAGAGACTACTATTCAACTCCTACTCTACTTCCGAGATGGATGATTTTAGCTAGCTGCTGACTTGAAAGCTTCCTTTCCTCACAACCGTTTTTAAGATGAAAGGATACAGCAGCTGAACGCCTATGACAGTTAGTAGAGTTCAATCATCAGTCCAAGAGACATTGATTCTGCAGCACCACCTCACTGTAAACCTAAAGAAAAATGGTAAATTATCTAAAATCCAGCCTAAGTTTCCCCTTTCCAAATTTTTGTAGGCAATTTTTCTAAGGAAGTGAAACCTGACTCACACAGCAGTAACCTTTACCAGGAAAACAAAACTATTTAAACTCAAGATGGAGCCACAGCTGAATAGTCATCAAAGTCCTCAGTGTGCAAGGAGATCTGGACTATGCTCATCTGATTCAAGATAGTCAAATTTTCCAAACAGAGGGACAAATAGGAGGGTGGCTCCTTTGCTTGCATGAAGGACCAGAAGCAACAATAGTCAGTGTTACAACAGCGCAACAAAAGACACCGTTAATGCTCTAAGAACAACAATTGCTATAAAATAATTTATTTTCCAAGAAATACCTTTCCTATGCCTGTTCTGCCCTTTTGGGACTCAAGTTTGGTTTAGACAGTAATCTTTTCTCTCTCTTTTCTACCACTCAAAGTATTATGTGAAAGATAAACTGTTCTAAACGCATTAGTTTCCCAGTGTTTTTGATGGCAACCTACAGTAAGAAATATATTTACATACCAGTCTACGCACACATAAATGTCACGTATACTAACTAAAAAAATAAAACCAAAAAACCACTTATGTTTATTATATGTGCTACATTCTGATACTGCCTACCATTTTATTTAAAAAGCAAACAAACCAAAACTTCCTAAATGATCTCATTCCCCACACTAATGGGACACAACTCCCAATATGAAACACCAAACTAAGGTATACAGACACACAATGGCACAATGGAGGGGACATACTGGGAAGACACAGAAATTAACTTGTTTTCATACCACAAATTCGTGAAATGGCAACAGAGAACTGAGCAACAAGTAGTACAGAATGTTCAGTTGTGTAAAATAACAGGATGTCACAGACTACTTTGATTACACCAATACTGGCTTTCCCCAAACCTGGCTCATTCTGAATCTGTTCTGCTGATGAAATTCACTATAATTATATCGTAACTTCTACTCTCAGCAGGTGTCTCAATGTTGCTGGGTAATCTTTTACTTCTGCCTCTATCATACAAAATCTCACCTTACCTAATATCCCCCTCAACATCTACCATTTCACTTCCTCTCAGTCTGCTTTCCACCTGCCTCAGAAAAAGGAATGTTCTTATCTCTTCTAAAATGAACTCCCGACTATGTCCCACCCTCTGCTCGTATCTTCAGAATTTACACTGCGCCTGCTCTTTTATATGCTGACTTGCTTCCACTTGAATATTTCATCTCTCCCTTTCCAAAGATACCTTTCTCTGTGCCAAACATGCCTCAAGTTTCTTCTCCCTTTATATAAAAAAACCCAAAATGTCCCTTTCTCAGCACTGCTTTATCCTCAACGTGTCTTTCTCATACTCTTCAACACCAAAATCATTAAATAGGCTTCATTAGTTTTTTCTATTTCAACTTCACTCTTCCTTCTAGTCTGATCTACTTAATCTCACCTCTGCCTTCATTATTGCTTTAAATTACTCAAAACATTTCACAAATGATTTGCAAATTGCCCAAATGCTGACAACCGTTCCATTCCCATATCCCTTCCTAAAACAGTGACACCATCACACCACTTTGACTTTCTAGATTACTATTTATAAAAAATTTACTATGCGATAAATATAGTATAAAATGCTTTACATACTTGATTTATTTAATTCTAAAAAATATAAATTTTACAACTGAGTAAACTGAGGCTCAAAGGGTTAAGAAACTTGTCCTCATGAAAACTGAGAGCAGAGCTGGGACTGAAACCAGAGATGGATACTGTACTGGTCTGTCTCAGAAGGGCTGTCCACATTCTAGAAGGAATGCCATTAGAAGGCCTCACCCATACCTCGGTCCACCATGTAACCAACCAAAAAGTCAAATTATCCATTTTTATGTACTTTAGTATAAATGTGGATACAGAGTTACTTACACACAGCTCATAAATTCTATGAACAATCAATTAAATTTGGGGAACACTTTGGAAGAAGAAAAACAAACAAAAGAACAAAGGCAGAACCTTTTATAAAAAGTAAACACACCTGTTATTTAAATAGTCCCCAAGTTAAGCTGAGCTATACAGATAGTGGCATAAAACAATCGTAAGAAAGTAAACTGTACCTTCTGTAGAAAATAGCTTTGAAAGCTCATAAAGTTGTTTGTTTTCACAATGTTTGGACAAGTTTTACAACAAAACATTCTGGTAAAAAGTGACTTCATGGCTGGTGGTCCTGTCCATGTGCTTACCATTGAATTTGCAATCTGCAAATAATTAGAAAACGAAGTAATGTCCATCACCACTGAAAACATATTTTAAATAAAACAGCTTTTTAAAATTTATTAATACAATTGGATTAGTTTTCAACAATTTCAATTCTCAGAAATTTAATATCTTTGAGGCTTTTATTACCATTTCCAAAACACATAACTCACCTCCCCGTAAAATTCCTATGTACACTTATAGTTATTTTCTACAATTTCTAAATTGGAGCATTCTTTTATGTTTTAAGAAAATATGTTTGCAAATGGCTTCTAGTCTGAATAAGTTGTCTTTGTCCATTTAGGCAAATATAGTTCTAACATTTTAAATCTACCATATAGAATCATCACCAAGGATTTTAAATAAGGTTTTAAAATCTAGCCTAATTGAAAAATAAGCCAATAACAGTGATAACATTTATAGTCTGCAAGAATGCTTTCCAAAAACCATATCTTATTGAAACTTTTAGTGTATATAAAAATAATGTCTGAAAAGAATGGATTTATAATTAACTTTAGTCTATAACTTCATGGATCTGCTAAGAATTTAGCACACAAGAGTCACAAAGATCTTTATAGAAGCAATGAAATTATATCAAAGAATATCATGTTTGTCCTCACATATCTGAGTAGAATTTAGGAATGCAACTACTCCATAATTCTCATTAAAAATAAAATGAATCTAAACCATTTACAATCTTCTGAGATGTTGGACAAATGGATTCAGCAGTGAGGAAGAAGAGTCAATTATGGGAACGAACCTATCATCAAGATGTTTTTTAAATACCTGGAACCCAGTATTTGTGGCCAAATTGTTGTCTGCATTTTTCTGGTTTTCATTTGTTCTACCTTCAGTTTTTTTGCATCTAAGGAAAAATATTTAGTTTTCTTAAGAAATTAACTTTTCTAGCATGTGAAATTATAGGACCTATCATTCTAAATTATGTATCACTAATACTGATTACTAAGCCCACACCATGAAATAGTCACCACCACGGGATAGTTAAGATGAACTGACTTCCTGAACTATAATGTAAAACATCAAACTAAGGAATTGCTCGCCAATTACATTCTTTGCCATAACAATATGGTTGGCAATTCAATAAAATGGTAAAAAATTCTCTTTGGTTTTAAAATCTTACTTTCAGTTTGGCAATTATGAACTTTTAATGCATTATCCATGCTCAGGTCAAAACATGTTTCCTTCACATCAGTCTTATTACACATATTTGGCAAAAAGCTTTCAAGGGAATCGCTACCAAGTAAAATTAAAGACTATGGTAAATTTTAATTTATTTTCAGCTTTTGTTGTTGTTGTTTTAATATGCAGTAGTCATCCTGTTTTCTTTCTACCATATGTCATCTCACCTTTGCAAGGCAGAAGCAAGCTGACATTCTTACTCGGTAGAAACACTGCTCTTGTTCTAGTATGTCAGTGAGAGCGAGGCGAGATGCTGGCGTAGGGAATTTTTCCAAGGCCAGAATGGACTCTTGCTGTGCAACAACATCTCTTTCATAGCGGAGCTGATACTGCCACATAAAATCAGCTTGCTCAAACTCAACTTTCCTCAGCACTGACATATCTGGGTCTATCCTTATCCACAGCAAAGGGGAATCAGCACTGAAAGAAAATACAATTTTCTTTTTAATTTTTTTTCAATTTTATATATTTATAAAGTGAAAACAAAGCATTTGCTAAACAGATTCTCTTCTATACATGAAACATTCAAGACTGCCTGAAGTTTTACTCTATTTATTTTTTTAAATCACACTGACAACATTCTCATTATGTTTAATGTATTTCAATTTTCTCACAGTGGCTAATCTTTATCAATCTTGCTTAAACGATACTCAAGGATACGAAGATAGCTGTCACAAAGAAATTCCATCTGAAAATGCTAATTTGGGGATTCTGACTTGTGATTATGTGATGTGAAAAAAAATCTCTTCATTTTACTGCCTAATAGACTGTGGCTGTAAATGCCACCTTTTCTTGGAAATCAATCTATGACAAAGAAATGAACTTATTTAACCAAATTAACTTGTTTAACTGATTTTTAACATTTTTTTAAAATGTTAGATTCATGATCTTCATTTTCAAACAGCATGTTCTGAAATCACAGATCAAAGGCATATCATGAATTTATCCTCTAGTACTCTAGTACCTCTCAAAGTAACAAGCACAGTTTTAAAAATCTAGTCTGTGCCAACAATTTCATCAAAAGAACAGCACCTGAAATACTACTTTAATTCACCAAATACCAGTGGGTGCTTACTATAGGCAAGGCACTTGATATGGAAAAAGCACATAAATGATATATAAACAGCAATAATATTTGGCAACAAAGTTAGTAATTAGATTTTTTAATAATTAGATATTTTATACAAAACACACAGGCATAATATGGATGAGCAAAATGAGGTTTGAGCCACATTATATTTCTGTCAATTAATAAACATTACCACATAAAATTTAGAACAGCAATATTTAAATTGTATTTTGAAATCACAGGGAGCCTCAAAGTGCCCTGAAGCCTTGTCTAAAGACAAAAAGAATCTCTATCACCTGACAGCTCACTAGAAATGCCAACTATCAGGACCCACTAGTGAAGTACTAGATCAAAAACTGCATTGTGAGAAGATCCCCAAGTGACTGACATGCACATCAGAGTCTGAGAAACACTGCTCTAGAGGGCACCAGTGGAGCAAGGAAACCGCCCACCCCATAACCATCCTGTAGTTGCTCTTAGTTTCGCCTGGGCCAGGCGAAATTTACTTCTCACTCTTTGGTTAATGACGATTTTATGTAAGATTTTATTTAAACAATGCTTCTATGGCCTTTCACAAGTTTTGAAAGCACTGATTCCAACACATTTATATACCTTTAGATGTGCACAACAAGATAAATGAGAATGCACAAAATACATCCCTAAACTCAAGTAACTTACTCCATCGCAGAAAGATCCATGTCAACTTCTTCTCCATTCATCAGTGGAATTTTTTTCTTCTTATTCCTACATTTAGGGAAAAGTAAGTTTACAAATGCACATTTCCAAATTGAAAGGAGATACAGAACAGCTGAAATTCAAATTGAAAACTGCAAGCAACGTTGTAAGATAGCTTGAGGAAGAAAGGATAGTGAGTGTAATGGAATTTAAACACACAAAAAAGTCTATAGTATTTAAGCTGAAGGGAATGAAGCCAATGATACTGAAATGTCTTCCCGATCAAAGTTTAACAAAAAGCAAAAATGTGTAACTAAATGTCAGGTTAAAGCATACATATATACTTCCAAGAACTGGTAAGCTGTTTTATACAGAAAAACAGATCAACAAAGAAATCCCCTAAAGTCCCCTACTACTATTATTGTATTATTAAATGAGTTTATGTTTGTTATTGATTTATGTATTTGGGTGCTTCCAAGTTGAGGGCATAAATATTTGCAATTGTTAGATCTTCTTGATGGATAGATCCCTTAATTATGATATAATGCCCTTCTTCATCTCTTGTTACAATCTGTTTTAAAATTTAGTTTGTGTGATAGGAGTCTGGGTACTCTGGCTTTCTTTTAACAACCATTAGCATGATAGATGGTTCTCAATCCCCTCAATTTCAATCTGCAGGTGTCTTTAGGTCTACAATGAATCTCTCATAAGCAGAGATGGACCTAGTTTTTTTTGTTGTTGTTGCTGTTTTAATCCATTCTGATACCCTATGTCTTCTGGTTGGAGCATTTACTTTATACAAAAGTGAAAAAATAACCAGGCCTGAAATGAGACATGAACAATTGTGAATATGTCCTCTAAGTGCAAGGTGTTGTCCTATAAGAAATGAAGTATGTGATTAACTATAAAACATCCTAATAGTATTAATTAATATGTACAACTAACTAATATGAGTAAGATTTAGGGTAAGTCAAAACAAAAGCAACTGCTTCCATTCAGATTACTCTTGAATCATAAAATCTACTGGTTATACACTAAAAACTTGGGTGAAGACAAATTAACAGAGAACAGTCTTCCTGTGTTCCTCATACCAAAGAACACCCAAAAAACATATTGTTACTATAGAGAAAAAAACCTGAGGAAATGTTATGAAAAGGGTAGCAATCAGATGTTCCCAATTTCCAAGACAAGACAAAAGGAAAAGGGAATTTCAGTCTGAACCTAGAAAGAATTTTCAGAGGAAAAATGGTTCCAGGGAGATTTCAGAATCAACTGACATCCTCAGTTGTCTGAGATGACCTAAATGTAGTCATCGTGAGTGTAAGACTTCTGTTCCTAAAGTTTTGAGATTACTATACATTCCTCCAGGAAAGCACAAAAATGCTCCCATCTTTCACTATTCAGAATACATGCTAATGGCTGAGTTAAAAAAGAATGGTAAAGAAAAAATGTATTAAATAAAAGACGAATGGTTGAACATTTTCACTGACAATGTACGTTTTTAAAAGACATCAAGAATGTTCTCTAAGAGACGCCTGGCTGGTTCAGTTGGAAAAGCATGTGACTCTGGGTCTCAGGGCTGTGAGTTCGAGCCCCATGTTGGGTGTAGGATTACTTAAAATAAATAAATAAAGGGGGGCTTGGCTGGCTCAGTCAGAGGAGCATGCGACTCGATCTTGGGGTTGTGAGTTTGAGCCCCATAATGGTTACAGAGATTACTGAAATAAGCAAAACAAAACAAAATGAAATGTTCTGTAAGGGCATGGTGATATAGAGAAAAGGGAGAAAGACACAGTAAAGAAAATGCAGGGGCTTTCTGTGACATATGTATTCAGCTCTTTCCTTTATACTCAGTAATCATTTCCCCAATATTTACTACAGATATTAATCCAAGGAGACTAATAATAAACCTAAGTGGGATGCCTGGGTCGGCTCAGTCAGTTGAGCATTCGACTCTTGATTTAGGCTGAGATGATGATCCAGGGTTGTAGGATCGAGCCCTGTGTGGGGCTCCGTGCTGAGGGTGGAGCCTGCTTAAGATACTGTCTCTCTCCCTCTGCCCCTCTCTCCTGCTCACACTCTCTGGCTCTTTAAAAAAGGAAAAAAGAATAGGGGCGCCTGGGTGGCGCAGTCGGTTAAGCGTCCGACTTCAGCTCAGGTCACGATCTCGCGGTCCATGAGTTCGAGCCCCGCGTCAGGCTCTGGGCTGATGGCTCAGAGCCTGGAGCCTGTTTCTGATTCTGTGTCTCCCTCTCTCTCTGCCCCTCCCCCGTTCATGCTCTGTCTCTCTCTGTCCCAAAAATAAATAAACGTTGAAAGAAAAATTAAAAAAATAAATAAATAAATAAATAAAAATAAAAAAGGAAAAAAGAATAAACCTAAGCAACTTGCCTTGAATTTTTCCTGGCTCCAAAACACCAAACTACTTCCCCCTGTCCCTACAAAATAAGGATTCTTAAACTTAAATTTTCAAATTAATTAATTCTAAGGATAAAAATGTTGTCAAGAACAGAAAGCAAATAAGGGGCACCTAGGTGGCTCAGTTGGTTAAGCATCCAGCTCTTGATTTCGGGTATCCGGCTCTTGATTTCAACCCAGTTCATGATCTCATAGCTTGTGGGTCTGAGCCCTGCTTTGGGCTCTGCACTGACAGTGCGGAACCTGCTTGGGATTCTCTTTCTCTCCCTCTCTCTGCTCCTCCCGCTCTCAAAATAAACTTAAAAATAAACTTAAAAACAAACCAAAAAAACAAAGAGCAAATAAAAAATGTTTGGTTAAACCAACTTGAATGGAAGAAAAAAAGATACCAGATAACATGTTCTCTACTTCAAAACTTAGGTATACATTAGGATTTCTATTTTGGCATTTTAATCTGTGAGACTTATAGTTTAATTATCAACTTCAGTTTACAGTTATGATTCAATGCCTACCTTCTGCTTTTGGAATGACAGGGTATATCATGTTTAAGGCTGTTTTCTTCAATTTGCAACGTATGATTGAAGGATCCATCTAATTCCTGCACTGTCACTTTAAGTGGTCCCTTTAAAAAGAAACACACTGTTCAAAGATAATGCTCGGATAACACCAATATGTATTCTTATATGTACAGGCATTTTTATCAAGATATAAGATAATACTATACAAGATGTGTATCTGGAGACACAAAAAGGTAGTCAGTGCCAAAAGAGGGGAGAACTGGAATAATCTGTGTTCCCTGAAATTTTTCATCTGTAACCTCTTCACTGACCCATCACTAACACTTGGTATTTTCTCAACTTCAATCTTTGCAAACAAAATCTCATTATGAAACTTCTAAGCAGCTTCCCACCCATAAGCCCGTCCTATACTGAAACTAAGAAGTAAGTAATGCAGGTCATTTTGGAAAAATTCTTACTTTTTTAAAAAAAAATTTTTATACATTTATTTTTGATAGACAGAGACGGAGCACAAGTGGGGGAGGGGCAGAGAGAGAAGGAGACACAGAATCCAAAGCAGGCTCCGAGCTGTCAGCACAGAGCCCGACACAGGGCTCGAACTCACAAACCGCGAGATCATGACCTGAGCCAAAGTCAGATGCTTAACCGACTGAGCCACCCAGGTGCCCCTCTTACCACATATTTCTGAGTTCCAGGAGATGTATAATCCTGTTTTATTTCCAATTCCAAGACATTTCGTTTCCTATTAAATGCAAAACTTCCATAAAATTTTACCACTCCACTTTGGTCTCTGAAGAATTGTAAAGGAATTTTTGCATATTAAAATGAATATGTACTAAACACAATGAATGACTTGTAATGGTAGGTAGTAATTTTCAAATGCATTCTTACCAGTTCAAAGCTTGAGAGCACACTTCACTGTAAACCAGGTGGCAAAGTATTCAAAATTTTTGTGAAAAATGTTTCCCCAGATTTAAACAAAATGTCTGAAACATTAACAAATTTGTGTTTTGAAAGAAGCAAAACCACTCTACTGGGGTTATTAATATAATAGTGCTTTGATACGAAAAAATGTAAAAATTGAGAGTTCCCAGATACCACTCAAGTTGTGCCAAGCTCTAACCACATCTAAAAGTGACCAAACACTACATCTTACAAGTAATCCTTCAGGCCTGTCTGGTGGATTATTTACCTCCCCCACCATCAAGCCTACTGTTGCACTCACACTCTAAAAAGTAATTCAAAATATGCCAAATTTTATAAGCGTGTGTGTGTGTGTGTGTGTGTGTGTGTGTGTGTGTGTGTGTGTGTGTATCTCAGTGATCAACAGGCACCTCAGCAAAAATGATTTACTCTTTCTGGTTATTTCTACTACAATTTAGAAGCTCAAATAGTTCTCCTTTGGTCTCCCAAATCTCTTTTTCCTCCTTCCCTCGACACACATAACCGTATTATTCCCTTCCCCTCCTTGTTGAACTGCTACTGAAAAGGATACACCCACTGTTTTATTAAAGGCTGGATGTCTTTGCCAGAGACATTTGAGATGGATTTCAAAAACCCAGATGTGGAAACCAACATCTGACTCCACATATGTGACTGGAACTTCTGCGATGAAGCAGTACTAGCCAAACTTAACAGTTTATTGAAAACCTATAATGATGAAAGCGTCGGTTAGGAAGTCTGCATAACATAATACCTGTTGCCTTCAATTCTGTACTTCAATACCCACTTTTATTATGACTTTACTATAGTCAATTACAGAAGAGAGTAATTTCATATCTTACTACAACATAGGTGAGTTCTAGTTAAAGACTATTAGCAATAAAAGCATGCAAAGATTTAAACAGCCAGACTATGAAACTATTCTTTAACATAACTCAATTTTAACAACGTCCTGGCCAAATAATGAACACTGTTTTTCAGGATTATAGTAACAATAGGTACTACCCATAATTTATTGTACCACGAGCTTTACAAAGACTATAAACATTATATTTAGCAAATTGAGAACATCCATTAAGATTTATACAACTCTGCAAGTTTCTTTATGGACCACCTCTCATTAATATTTGTCCACTCTACAGGCAAGGTGAAGGACATAAAAGATTAAAGAAACTTAATTTTAAGGCAAATGTAAAATGCCTTTTAAAAAAAATTACTAAAAAGTTATTTTTCACTCACCTTTAAGAGTGTTATCAATGGAAGAAAAATTGCTGAACATTCATAATACATTTGGTTTCTACTACCTCAACCAGTATATCTCAAGTATTTACACCACAACTTGCTTAAAATATATGGCAAAACTTAAGAGCAAAACTATCTTTTAGACATAGGTTTCCTTTTTTCTCTTGAAAACATTCTAAATGGCACTTCAACCTTAGTAATTTATGTATCTATCTATCTAACACCCACCCACCCATCCATCCATCCATCCATCCATCCATCCATCCATCCATCCAACCAACCAACCATTTGGTAAGCTCCACGCCCAGCACAGAGCCCAACATGGGGCCCAATGCAGGGCTTGTACTTACAACCCTGAGATCAAGACCTGAACTGAGATCAAGAGTCAGATGCTTAACTGGGGGCACCTAGGTGGCTCAGTTGGTTGGGCATCCAACTCTTGGTTTCAGCTCAGGTCATGATCTCAGGGCTTTGTGAGTTCGAGCCCCACATTGGGCTCTGTGCTGGCGGTGTGGAGCCTGCTTGGAATTCTCTCTCTCGCTCTCTTTCTCTGTCCCTCCCCCACTGGTGCTGTCTGTGTCTCAAAATAAATAAGTAAACTTAAAAAAAAAAACAACAAAACAGTCCGACACTTAACTGACTGAGCCACCCAGGCACCCTTCATCCTTAATATTTTAAATAATGTTGGAAACAAAATCCTATGCATAAATAGGTTTTACCTCCATCCTCACATTCTAATTTTATAACCTCAATAATTCAGCACTAAGTGGTTAAAATACTGATACTCATTCTACATCTGAGGAAATGCAAACAAAAAGCACAGATTACTTAGTAGGCAGACAGCTAATTAGTAACAGAATTCTTGCTATAACCCCAGATGCCCTGATTACTATTCTACAGAATAGTATTCAGATTATCACATATAGAACACATCTTTCTTTACAGTTAAATCCTTAACTGTAACACTTACTTGTAGCATGAATTCCATACTGATCCTATTTTCAATCAATCTCATCACAAGGTGAGCTTTACACTGAAACATAGTGTAGTATTCCCAGGAAAGTGTATGTGGATGCTTTATTGAAAAGTGTAGATGAGATGCTGGACTACAAACATAAACAGATTTACTTAATAAAACAAATTTTAATTTTAAATATACAATAAATTTCATGATCACATCAAGATAATAAATCAAAAACCTCATGGGAATGACTCAGTAATTTCCTTAGCATGACAGCAACACAACTGGGAAACTTCTAAAAATAAACTTAACTGGAAGAAAATTATGACGTTGCATGAAAAAACATAAAGGAAAATCTGAATAAAAACACATGCCACGCTTCTAGATTGGAAGACACGACAGTATAGATATCTCAACACTCCTCAAATTCATCCTTATAATCAATGTAATTCTAATATCCCAAAGTTAAACCATACACACACAAAAAACCATTCAAGATGGATTATACATATCAAAAACAATTATAAGAGTACTGGAGTAAGAAAAAAAAAATTCTTGTCATATTTCTAGGGTGGGAAAAATCTTCCTAAAAATATATAAAATCTTGAGGACAAAGACCAGACTACGTAAAAATTTTACATTCTGAAATGATGAAGAGATCATCAGTAAATTAAAAGAAAGGTACAGTCTAGGGGCACCTGGGTGGCTCATCAGTTAAGCATCCAAATCTTGATTTTCACTCAGGGCATGAACTCACAGTTTGTAGATTCGAGCCCAGCATCCAGCTCCACACTGACAGTGCCCGTCCCCACCCTCCCCCATGTGTGCTCACTCTCTCTCTCTCTCAAAATAAATAGAAATAAAAATAAAAGGTACAGTCTAATGAAAAAAATTTATGACATATATGGACATTTAAGATGCTTAAAATTTTCCACTATTTTAAATAATGCTGTAGTGAATACCTTTTTATACATATGCATGTATTTCTGAGTGGCAAATGTAGAAAGTAGAGGTTTTTTTTGACAAAGAGACAGAGAGGGCACAAGTGAGTGAGGGGTGGGGAAGAGAGAAGGAGGGCTCACCCGAAGCAGGGCTCATGCTCACCCAAAGTGGGGCTCGAGCTCACCCGATGAGGGACTCAAACTCGCAAACCATGAGATCATGACCTGAACCGAAGTCAGATGCTTAACTGACTGAGCCACCCAGGCACCCTAGAAAGTAGAATTTCTACATGACAACATAGCTAGAAGCACAACTATTCAATCTAAAAATTACCTATTTAAAAAATTTGATTGGTACCAACAAATTACCCTTCAAAATCCAAATTACACTCTCACGATCAGTGTGTCAGAGTAGTCATTACATTTCCTTAAAAACATGACATATTGAAATGTAAAATATTTGTCATTTTGATATTTACTCAATAATATGTATATGATCAAACTACATTTTGCAATGTCACATATAAATAAAGGCACACACACACAAAGGCCTGGAAGCAATATACCAAATTTATAATCATCGTTATCTCCAGGAAGAGGAATGAGTGGGCGGGAGGTATATTGCTTCCAGACTTTTTTTTTTGCCTTTAAAAAGTAAACATACAAGAGCTAAGTAAATGGGCAGAACCAAAGCAAAAGCATTTCATGTAAATAATACTTATACACAATGGTAATGCTCTAATTATGTGCTGGGAAACTGCCATATAGCAGGGAGTCAGGAGAAGAAAGTGAAAGACACTAACATTTATGAAGCTTTTATCTCAAGTAATTCTCACAGCCAACCTGGTTAAGATGGACTATCACTGTCATTTTACACATTAAAACACACATCCAGAAAGGTAAGTGATCATAAAAATAATGATAAAAATCCCAAGTTTATTTAACCAAATGTCTAAGCTTTCCCACGAACTTAATCTTAATCTACAACAAAAAAAAAAGGCTACTGGTTATACAACTTCAGGTTTCATAACCTTTATGGTGCTTTTAGACACTTGGGCAGTCTGGTTAATCCTATGGGCCCCTTTTGAGAAACTGCTTTCACATGCACAAAATAAAACATATAGGGGCGCCTGGGTGGCTCAGTCGGTTAAGCGTCCGACTTCAGCTCAGGTCACGATCTCGCGGTCCTTGAGTTCGAGCCCCGCGTCGGGCTCTGGGCTGATGGCTCAGAGCCTGGAGCCTGCTTCCGATTCTATGTCTCCCTCTGTCTCTGCCCCTCCCCCATTCATGCTCTGTCTCTGTCTCAAAAATACATAAACGTTAAAAAAAATTAAAAAAAAATAATAAAACATACAGCATTACAAAGAAAACCAATTATAATGAAATGCAGTTATAAAAATAGTAAAACATTATTATAAACCGATATATACATGCTAGTTTATTAATGCATTAAATAACATCTAGCAGTGGTCTATTATAGTAATTTTGCGGTGGTGATAATCAGTGCAGAGTATTTCAAAATATCTGCTAACAATTATAATGTGACAGGAAAAGATCTATGATTTCTACTGTTTCTTTTTTTTAACGATTACTACCATTGACCGTCACAGCATTGTCTGTTGCCTACATTCATAATTAAAGAAAACATAAAATTTCATCTAATGGCTAGTGAAAATACAAAAAAAAAAAAAAAAAAAAAAAAAAAAAAAAAAAAAATTCCATCCAATTCAATCCACATTCCCTTAGGGAATCACTAGAACAAACAAGATTGCCTGCTAGTACCATTATTTTGCTGTAAGTGGGTCTCTTCTTTACAGAGACTTTTTACACAACAGAAAGAAAGGGAGAAAAAGAAGGGAAGGAAGGTCAAGAGGGAGGGAAGTAAAAGGAAAGCAGAGAAAAAGCAAAGAGTACATAAGTGTCTAGGTAGGTGACCACTCAGATAAATAAGGAGGATGTCCTGATGTTAAAATTATCTACGTAGACATAAAAAAAAAATAATCTGTGGTCTATAAGCAAAATACTTGTTTCCATTATTTTTAAACTTTTCTGAGAGCAATGCGATATAGTAGCATTAGGAAATTAACATGGAAAAGAGAAGTCTTATATACTTTAAGAGTCTTTCTTTAATGTTAAAATCCACATATAGCCACCACATCAGTAAAAACAGTCAAGTAAGGAAAGGAGTAATCAGAGTATTACCAGTGTTTTTGACTTTGATATTATTACATGATATTATTTTGGCCTGTGTGGGCCTCAATACACATCCCAAGTTATAAATCCATAACAGAAGATTTATAATATCACCTCTGAACAACAAACATACTTATCCTTCTCTTTTCCTCCACCAAATATGGGATGTAATAAAACTCCACCAGTTTTTAATTCATACGCCACTATTTTGTCTAGCTCCTAAAAAAGATAAAAATAGGAGTCAGTGAAAAATTCTTTACATATAAAATTTTAGAACTGAACTGTGATTTCTCATTTCCTGGAATCAAAATGTAAATTTCTTAAAATAAATTAAATGTATTTGTAAAGTAGTTTATGTTCTTATAAACAAAGCAGACTACACAGCTGGCTCAATAAGAGAGCCAAAAAGCCTTCTCTACTTTGTGACTTCAGGGCTGGCCGGTAGCCTGGCATTTTTTCCTAATGGCTCTTCCCAACCTCTCTGACCTGTGTTCCAAGTTCATTTGTATATTGTCTGTATTTTGTTTCTGGTGAGGATTTAGGCAAGTAAAAAGAAATGGAGATAAAATTTATGTCAGGTATCTACCATTTTAAAACTTCTCCATCTTCTCTAATATGACACAGATCAAAGTGAAAAAAAAAAAGACAACAGAACTGTTAGAACTCAAGACTAGGGTAAATAATATATAAGCAGTATTACAGAGGTGGTAAAAATCATAGTGAAGTGGTTAAAAGCCAGGTATGAATCCTGGCTCTACTACTCACTAGCTGTGTAACTTTGGCCAAATAATTTAACCTGTCTGTGCCTCAGTTTCCACATCTGTAAAATGGAGGTAATAACAGGGTAGTTTGGAAGATTAATATAGCTAATATATAAAATGTTTATAACAGTTTCTGAAACACTGTAAATGCTATACATTATTTTTTTTTCTTCATTAATAGGTTTTGAAATGAAGAATGGACTCTTCCAGTTTAGATGTATGAATTCTTTTATAGTTCCAGATACTTGAAATCCTTTGCAATTACCTTTTGGCTTACTTGAGTCTAGGTCTGGATGATGGAGATACATAAAATGACAAAAGGGAAAGACGGAGGGGTCTATTTCATAAAGGTATTAAGGGCTGAAATTTTTTCCACCTGAGAAAAAAGGAGCTAAGTACAAAATGAGTAAAGTGTATATACATATGAACAGAATGGGCTAGGCAAAATACAGTTGATTTTTTTTCTTTTTGGCCAAATCTTTAAATAATAGAAAAAAGATGTGTCAATGACAGAGAATATAAATGCACTGAAAGACCAGCCAGCATATAATAAGCACTTACTATGTACAAGACACCATGTACATTACATGTATGGTATCTCACAATCCCCATCTACTCCCCTTATAAGGATGAGACTTAGATTAACCAAAGTCACAAAGCTTATAAATGTATGAGGCAGACCAAAAAGCAATCTCAGAATCTGCGCTCTAACTCTAAATAAATTTAAGAAGCATAGGGTTATATTACAAATGGCTACTATGAGGAGCTTGGATGTATCTAATGACTAATCTGATGTAAAGGAGTTTAAATACTCTCCTGTTTAGCAAAAAATTCTTTAGAAGTCAACACTAACACTGGAACTAGATAAAATAGACCATTAGTCTTTCTTAGTACAGTAATTTTCATTTTGCTGGGAAAAATCAGGCACTTTCCAATGACAGTACTTTACAATTATTAAAAGTAAAGGACAAGTAACTTGTAAATCAGGAGAACATTAACATGTCTTGTTGACTTCTAAATGGGTAATGGATCAGGCATTTTTTTACCTCTTTAATCCAGTGGCGGTATTCATTAACACCAAAAGTTTTTTTCATCCAAAGTCCATAAATATAGCCAGAAATTCCCTTCAGTACCCATTCATCAGACCTAAGCAAAAAGTCAAAATATATTCTTTTAGTCATAAAAATTTTTCAGATAAGGCCAAATAACAGAACAAGTTATAGTGTGTATTTTTATGCCTTTTAAAAAAATTAAAATAAAAATGAAAAGAAAAATTTAATAACAAGATATTTGGTTTAACCACTTCCTCCCACCGAATTCTACTTATCCATTCATTACACTTTACTCACATCTGACTTCATCTTTAATTAGGTGACTGATTTACAGTCTTATTTCAAGTAATGTACCCATGTCTGTGCTCTGCTTCCCTCTTGGTCAATACTTCTGCCTCCAAAGAAGTAATTGCCCAAAGCTGGACTGTACTGCTCAACTCTTAAAGTCCACATTTGCAAACCCTATGCGTAATTATCAGTGGGATTCCAAGATCTAAAGTTTAATTACTTAATTTATTCCTTGGTTTCTCAATAGGAAAGGCAATTAACACCATCCATTCATCTTTCATTCATATCCATTCATTCATTCATCCATTCATTCATTCAATCATTTTGCCTACCATGTTCCAGGCAGTGTTATTCATTGAAACTATGTAATTTTAGAAAAATTACAAATCAAGAGGTCTTACCCTCTGCCCTTTCCCTGCCAACAAGTATATTCGTGCACTACGTATAGCAGAGAACAATCACAAAAATTAATTATAATCTTATGGGAGTTTCATGTATTTCTCCAAATTCACCTCAAGTTAATCAAAAAGAAAATAAAGTGTTCTTATCTCTTACTCCTTTCAAGTGTATTAGTACAAAGTTAAACACTAACAGGAAAATCCCTACATCATTATCACTATTGTAGAGGACTGTTATTTTCCCTTATACATGATGTTTAACATTACCAATTACACTCAACATGGACATTAGAGTTCCAACGATAGTTTTGTGTACATTCAAGGTCTTTTTTCTACAGTACTCATTGTTTCCTAAGAAATTACTGCTTTCAAAATTCTTTTAAAAATTGTAGAACTAGGGCGCCTGGGTGGCGCAGTTGGTTAAGCGTCCGACTTCAGCCAGGTCACGATCTCGCGGTCCGTGAGTTCGAGCCTGCCAGGCTCTGGGCTGATGGCTCAGAGCCTGAGCCTGTTTCCATCTCTGTGTCTCTCTGCCCCTCCCCCCATTCATGCTCTGTCTCTCTAAAATAAATAAACGTTGAAAAAAAATAAAAATAAAAAAAAAATAAAAATTGTAGAACTATATTGAATTGATAGCCAAAAACTTAGGATGAAATTTACACTATTTTTTTCTGAATATATATATATATATATATTATATATATGTGCATATATATAATATATACATATAGAAAAGAAAATGCAGAAAAAGAAAACAAACTTTCCCAATTCCTTTTCTCAGTAGTTGTTAAACTATGAAATTACTTACCAAGACATTCTGGATATGAAACATCCAAAAAACTGCTGGGCCAAGGACTGGGCTAAACACCTTCTAGTCAAAGGTGTCTCATCTATAATCATGGCACTATGTAAAAGATTTGTGCTGGAATTTAGAAGAGACAGCTAATTATAACCAAGAAAGAAACATGATTCAGTCAAAATAAAATAATCACACTTTTAAAATTCCGAGAAAATTGGCCTGGGTGGCATGATGGGTCGCGTTGTTACCGACTTCAGCCAGGTCACGATCTCATGTCCGGGAGTTCGAGCCCGTGTCAGGCTCTGGGCTGATGGCTCGAGCCTGGAGCCTGTTTCCTTTCATTCTCTGTGTCTCCCTCGTTCCCTCCCGTTCATGCTCTGTCTCTCTCTGTCCCAAAAATAAATAAAAAAAAATAAACGTTTGGAAAAAAATAAGAAAATTCAAGTTAGACATAAAAAAACAGATTACGCTTCCAAAAGCTATCACATCTTTTTAAAATTCAGCTGAAATCCATAATCTTAATTAACTTTTGCCTAAAGCAAGGACTGCATTGTTTCCCATTCATTTCTGTGAAAAAATATAAATACCATTTTCTGGGAGAAGGGGAAATTATCATTAGCCAGAAATGGATATGTTCATCAGAAACTGATTCTCCTATGAAGGGCTCTTCTAAATTCAAAAACCTTTTGCCAATAATAACTATTAATTTTTTTTAAGTAAGCTCTACACCCAACATGGGGCTTAAACTCACAAGTCAAGATCAAGAGTCACATGCTCTACCGACTGAGCCAGGCAGGCACTCCTATTAATTTTTTGTGCTCCATTGTTTACTTTCAAATACACTGACCTATAAGATCTTTCTAACACACTGCAGAGAATACAGGGGCCGTATTATTACTGCCATTTTACAGATGAGAAAATTTAGGCCCAGAAAGGGTAAAATCATTGAATCTAAGATATAATATTTATAAATCTAGAACCTTCCAAAAAAAAAGAAAAAAAAAAAAAAGAAAGGGATAAAGTGAAGACGGGTATAAGAACAAAATAAAGTTTTCTCTCTTTTTTAATTAGCAAAGACATTTCTGTCAACATCAGTAAATTTTTTAAATGATGCTAGGAAAAATAACCCCATTAGACATCCATTATATAACTTGTATGATTTTTTTTTTTTTTTACATGCATAGGCAAAAGAGACTAAAAAAAAATCTATGAAACATTACTATCATTACTATCAGCTATATCTGGATGAAAATAATAGAAGTCTTTTGGGTTATTTTGAAATTTTCCTTTGTATGCTTTTCTACATTTTGAATTTTAAAACCATTCGATTTTCTATAAAGCCAACCATATTTAAAAGAAAAAAGTTTGAAACATATCTTAAAGTTGATCTGTCAACAGGGTAGACTGTCTTCACATCATTACCCTCATTTGGGCATTTCAAATCTTAAGAAATACCAACCTAAATATACTCATGGAAGCATAAGCAGCCACTTCAACATAAGCCTCATCGATGAATACTGTCTTAAAACAGGAGTATGGGTATCGACATGTAAGAATTTCTTCATAAAACTCAAAAACTTCATGAAGATATGACGTAGTATGTTTAAGCAGTGGAAGAAGTTGAGGTAAACAAAAATGAGTAACCTGAAAATAAAAAGCAGGGAAGATTGATCATTAAATGAAAGTTTAATTTTAGTATTTTAAATTTCCCAAATGTCTCAATTGTAAGGGAAACTTCACATTAATATAAATCTTAACAAATCCAAGGTAATGAGAGAAAATGCTAGTATGAAATCAATAATTACTTTTACTGTTTACAAAATATTCATTGTACTTGAAAACTAAAATCATGATGGATTATAAGTCTGTGAAACGCTTAGATTCAAAGAAAATACAACTTTGGTTCCAAATTAAAATTTCTTCTGCATAACCACACAAAACAAGAAAGATTTAAACTTGCATACCTTATTGCAAATCCACCTTTGATTCATAAATATCTAACCTAGTGAATATCGTACTTATCATAGTACTATTTTAATAATTAATAGTTAATATTAATCATACTACCTTCATTACATATAAAGAGCAGTTCCAGTAGTACTCCTAATATCTCAACCACATATTGAAAGCTATAGGGAAGCTTACTGGTAGTTAAGAGATGCGAAATACCAGCAACGGAAATTGTAATTCTGATCTCTTACTATGTCACATCCCACCTTGGATATGGCCACTTGAATATCATATACCATCTCATCCCATGCTATGATTCTGTGCCAAATAAATGGTATCAACAATGACAGAGATCACTCTGATTAGAATGACTTAGCAAAGTTTTATGCTGGAGATTAAATCTGAGCTAATCTTTTTGGATTGGACAAAAGTTTGATAGGAATGAAAAGGTCAAGTAGACATCTCAAAGTCAAAGACAGAAAGAAATATGGTATGGTCAGGAAAATCTACAGAACTATATTGAATATAACAAATAGGAAAGTAATGAGAAAAAAGCTAGAAAGGAAAATTAGGGTCAAATTCTAGAAGATACTGAAAGTCATACTAAAGAGTTTTTTTTTTTTTACTTAAAAAAATTTTTTTTAACATTTATTTTTGAGAGAGACAGAGACAGAGTGCAAGCTGGGGAGGGGCAGAGAGAAAGGGAGACACAGAATCCGAAGCAGGCTCCGGACTCCAAGCTTTCAGCACAGGGCCTGACACAGGACTCAAACTCATGAACCGTGAGATTGTGACCTGAGCCCAAGTCGGCTGCTTAACTAACTAAGCCACCCAGGCCAGCTACCCTTTTTTATAATGTGTATTTATTTATTTGGATTGAGAGATAAAATGCCCATGGGGAGGGGCAGAGACAGAATCCCAAACAGGTTCCACACCGACAGTGCAGAGCCCAACACGGGGCTTAACTCACAAACCGCGAGATCATGACCTGAGCCTAAATCAGGAGTTGGGACACTTAACTGAATGAGTCACCCAAGCATCCCTAAAGAGTTCTGACTGTTGTAGGAATGTGGAGGCAAGGAAAGTTTTTAATGTATGATAAAAATTATTCTAACAGCATTAGAACAGATAGACACTAACATACCTGAGTACTGAACATCTATGTATGATTAATGGTCAAGGGCCCAAACTACATCATAATGAGCACTCCTCTTGGTATACAAACAAAAACCGAAATATTATTCATCAGGAAAAGATTCACTATTAAAAAAACCTACATGACAGCAAATCTGATAATGCAGCAAAAACTCTTTATTTGAGACAGAGAAAGACTAAGTCATGGTTTCGTTAAGTACTCAAGAAAAATATTTCTTAACTATCATTTACCTTTCTCCCATCCAATGGCTCAGAGTGGGAAAAAAAATCCTTCCAAAATACAAAGTAGGTACTAATCAAATGTTGATTTTACAGTTGATCAATTACCAAAGATAATAAAATTCACCGCCAATCTTATCAGTGAATATACTTTTAAGAATCAACGTCACGCCAGCAAAAGCAAAACCATTCATAAAATACCCTGAATATTTTCCATGAGTGACTTTTATAAATCTTGTGAGTTTCAGGAAAGCAAATTAAGAACAGAGTGAGGAGCTTACCGACAGTCTAAACCTAACTGCCCTCAATTTTTGCTCACATAACAGAAATACTGTTGAGATATATATGGTTACAATATAGGTTTTATACTAAGAAAAAAAAAAACCCTAATATTTAAAATGTATGGGACTAAGAATAAATAAAGAGAGATTCATTCAAATGTTACTTTAAACACATAGAAGTAGAGAGGGTCAATAACCAATACATCACTTCCTAAACTCCAGAAGTCTCATGCTTGGGGAGGCCTAAATGCACTAATGGGTCTACCAATTAACATACAATTTGTGGCAAGATATGGAAGAAAACTGCAAGAAGCTTTCATGAGTATGTGGACTAGAATTCTAAACTCTGCCTCAGCCTTTTCTTTTTTCCTCTGTATATGCTAAAGTGAGAACAAATCTTGTTCTTTAATTTTGAAATTGTAGAGTGTTTCAGGTTCCAGAGATGGGGCTATAACATTCATAAACATAAACCAAACAAAAAGATGACATGAATACAAATTAGTTACAGAAATCAACCCACATACTCTAATCAAGGTATACTTGGGGCGCCTGGGTGGCTCAGTCGTTAAGCGTACGACTTCAGCTCAGGTCACAATCTCGCGGTCCGTGAGTTCGAGCCCCGCGTCAGGCTCTGGGTTGACCGGTCAGAGCCTGGAGCCTGTTTCAGATTCTGTGTCTCCCTCTCTCTCTGCCCCTCCCCCGTTCATGCTCTGTCTCTCTCTGTCTCAAAAATAAATAAACGTAAAAAAAAAATTAAAAAAAAAAAAGGTATACTTGAAGCTCTTTTGGAACACTAAGCTCTCTGTTGGAAAAAAACCTAAGACTTTAATATAACATTTTAAAAGGAATTCATTCAAGAATTCACATCATTAAATATATAGATAAAGAATCCTTTTCTGTCTAATGATATTCTGGATAATGGAAAGAATAGTTAGGAAAAACTTAGCATTTCATTACTATGCTTCCTTTTATCAGGAATGAAAAGCTGAGAAAGGGGCAAGAAGCTATGACTCACCTCGTGCATATATGGATCTACAAGTATTTCAAAAGGTCCAATGGCCAAAGAGATATTTGACGCAGCTGTTGGAATGGTGAGCATATAATGGAAGGTCTTCTTCCTCATATCATGGGTATATACTGTCTCCACCAAATCTCCATTGGAAACAGCCACCATTGCGGCATCTACCGTAAATTCTAATTTCCATGTACATAATTCAGAGTATGAATCAACGCATGGGAACCAAAATCTAGAAAAAATATCAAAAGTGTAAAAAATATAGTGAGAGCGTAACCTACATTGTTTCCCCCACTTATAAGTTTGTCTAACTTTTATAGAGTATGTGTAAAAAGAAACTTAAGCTATCTGCCTGCTGAAGCTTGTTACTGTGCAACTTCAGACTTTGATTAAAGGTAGAAACTTTTCGGGGTGCTTGGGTGGCTCAGTCACTTAAGCATCAGACTTCGGCTCAGGTCATGATCTCACAGTTCATGAGTTCGAGCCCTGCATTGGGTTCTGTGCAACCAGCTCAGAAACTGGAGCCTGCTTCCGATTCTGTGTTTCCCTCTCTCTCTGCCCTTTCCCCACACACTGTCTCTCTCTCTCTCTCAAAAATAAATAAGCTTAAAAAAAAAAAAAAAAAAACTTTTCTCCACATATTCTTCGGCAATATTAAGAAAATATATCATGTGATATAGCCAGTTCAAATCCTTAAAAAAGAGGTAGGCAATTCTTGGCTTCAAACTTCTAAATTAAAAACTATTTTCATTTGCATATTCACATTAGTTTTTATATAGTATTCATTACCAGAAATTAAAAAAGCTTACAATAAAGTTGTAAAAAACACAATATGCAGAATCTAATCCATAAGTTAGAAAACTGTTTTGGAGAATGGGATTGGGATGCATCACATAAATTCCAACAGTGCTAGCAAAGCCAGACAAAAAATTTCTATTCCACATTCTATCAAGGTCAGGTTTTACTACATGCCAGGGTCTATACCTGATACTGCAACACAAAGAAGTATGAGACATCATCCTTGGCTTGAAGAAGTTAATAATCTGAGGATTATTAATAACAATCTGAAGAGAATACGCATACTGTAATATTTCAACAATATATAGTGAACTTTGAGAATGAACTACAATCACACACAGCAATGAAGGAAAATCTCACTACCATGGTGTTGAACAAAAAAGGCCAGATAAAAAGAGCATAATGCATACACTTCCATTCATATAAAGCTCAAAAGCAGGTATAATTAAGCTATATTACTTTAGAAATCAGAATAGTGGTCACTGTCGGGCAGAAGGATATGAGAGAAGCAGGTAGTGACTAGAAGTGAGTAGGAGGTGGGGACTCTGCAATGCTGGTAATGTTCTCTTTCTTGATGTGAGTGTGGATTACACAGGCTATTCACTTGTGAAAATTCACTGAACTTTCCTATTTACAATTTAATTTTCTAGATGCCGTTTTACTGCAGTATAAAGTTAAAAAAATAATGAATTGGGATGATTTTAGAACAGTCTCTTTTCTGAAAAGTAAAGACAAAAGGGAAGACACAGGACTGAGAAGGAATGACTAGTGGAACAAGATTGAGAAGAAGTAAATCTGAGGATGAAGCTCATACTTCTCAATTTACACTAAACACATGTACTGCATATACATACAAAAAAATTCAACTGAAAAATGAAATTAACTGAAATATATAAGAATAATCTACCTTGTGGAATTTTGATACCCACAAGAGAAAACATGAGCACCTCTCTCTGCCATACTTCCCTCAACACTGGGTACCACAAAATGAAGACCTCCTTTTGGCTGATCCAAAGAAAAATTGATGTGTATCTTTAGGACCTTTAATTCTGCAACAAATAAATATACATATACATTGATACGTAAATATATAATAAGGTAACAATGGTCTATATAGCAAGGCACTAAACATAAAACGAGAATTAAAAGCTCAGCTTTAAATGAAAAATCACACCACTTACCCTACTTTCAGCTCTCACCTTTTCTCCACCTATATTAACTCAATAGCCTGCCTCCACTGATGTCCTTCCACTCAATTCTAGTCACTGCTAGCTGTGTTCTCCCAAGATATAACTCAGGTCATGCCATATCCTCCTCCCAACTTTTCTGACAATGCTATACTGTCTAAAGAAAAAAGTTCAAAACTACCTATCACATAGGAAATTTAAGGACACTTAGGATTCAATGCAAAACTTGAAAAGTAAGGACTTAAAAAGTCCCCCACATTGTTATCCCTAGTTGACTTTGGGGAACAGGAGGAATAGGGAGTGAGTGGGAAAAGCTACCCAAGAATTTATGTAATATGTTATTTACATTATCTTTAATTTATACATAACAAATACATGTTGCTTTTGTAAGATTTTTAATCTTATGAAAAAGAGGTTTCTTTTAATTTCCCTCAGACCATCACAACTATATGGACTATGTCCATTCCCTGAACATGAAATGATAGCCTTCTATGCCTATCCCCCAAAAGTGGGCAACCCTCAACCCCCCACCAAACACACGAACTATTAAAGAAAAAATAAAAAGCAAAAACAAAACAAAAATGTCTCACTTCCTCATCTTTGTTAATTTTTATAAGGCTAAATAAAAGTAGGCAAGTTATGCATAATAATTATAATGGCTGTGACTTCATCCAAGAGAAAACAAAGATTTAGAAAGTGTGCTCAAAAGTGCACAGTGGGTGTTAAGAACCCTATGATCTAGCACTGATTCTACTACTATTTAGTGACCTTCAGTAGGTCACTTGCTGTCTAGACTTCAGATTATTCTTCTGTAAAAGGAAAGAAGTGAACTAGGTGATTTTTTTAGGATTCTCCCCGCTATAACATGCTCTAATTTTAAATTGATTCGATATTGCGTACATTCTCAACTCTTGACAAATTGTTCTATCCATCCAATCTTTTTTATAACTTTCACTTTAAAAAGAATAGTGAATGAGTTTTTTGTCATAGCCCTTAATTGCTATTTTCCTATTAACCAGTGATCTTTTAAAAAAAAAAAAAAGAGCTTCCAACTTCTGTATATTTCAAGTATTAATTTACAATTATGACATCATTAATTTTCATGTAAAAGTTTTCAGTCACTAAGTCTAACATGATTTTATTGTATAGTCAATATATTTTTGGTGTTTTACCATCAACGTGTTTCCATAACTCTGAGGGAACCTTAATGCAAAGTTCTCCATTTCCTGCATCAGGATCCACAGCACTAACTGCAGCGGCATAAGCATTGGAAAAATAATTTAGATTTCTCCTGGGAAAAAAAAGAAAAAGAGATGTTTTAATAATAAGCCAAACATTTCACCAAGTATTTTCTTCAATATTTGGTAGCATTTGTTTGTTAAGCGTTATATCATTTTATATAATTTATGAGAATGCTTTCTGGACAAGTAACTATTACTCATCATGACAAAACCTACTAAATTATAAATACAATATCATATATAGCAAATTCGCCAATGCCATGTGATTATTATAATTACCATATCCTTCATTAATTTTGGAATGTCAAAGTCACTATACATTCCTGATAGAAGTGAAAAGAACATATGCAAAACTGAAGAAGTATTCTTTATCAATATGGCAAACATTTCAATCGATTCCACAAACTATGATCTGACAGAAATTAAGATGTTTAAAACAAGTTAGGATGGGAATCAAGTCCTTAAAATGTAGTACTGCTTACCTTTACCCCCAGTGCCTGACAATGTAAGCTTAAAGGAGGGAAACTTTTGCTGCTTCACTGCTGTACCTCCTATATGCCAGGGGGGTATACTCTATAAACAGCTGTCCAATAGTTACTTGGCCTTATTTGCCACTGGATGAAAACAATACACATAAGTCTTATGAAGATATTACAACACTGTTCCCATCCAATTTTTAAATTTTATTTCATTAAAAACACTTTAAATGTATATTGACATATACAGATCTCCCTCAACTTAACAATGGTGTTTTGTCCCGATAATCCCATCATAAGTTGAAAATATTGGAAATTGAAATGAATTTAATACACTTAACCTACCAAACATCATAGCTTAGGCTAGCTTACCATAAACTTGCTCAGAACACTTATATTAGCCTACTGTTGGGCAAAATCATCTAACACAAAGCCTATTTTACAATTAAGTGTTGAACATCTCAGGTAATTTATTGAATACTATACTCAAAAGGAAATACAGAATGGTTGCATGGGTACAGAATTGTCCTAAGTATACAGATTATATAGCCTCGTGATCATGTGGCTGACTGGGAGCTGAGGCCCACTGTACAGCTCCACATAGGTACCACATATTTCTAGCCTGGGAAAGAAATCAAAACTCAAAATTCAAAGTACAGTTCCTACTGAAAGTGTATCACCAACTTTGCACCATCATAAAGTTGAAAAATTGTTAAGTTGAACTGTCTGAAGTTGGGGGCCGTCTGTACACATATTACATTTCCTCGCTGAAACCTGTTTAAAGGAATATGTAGGAGATGGATGAAAGAAAAAAGACAAGGAATGATAAGAGCAAGATGAAAGACAACTCCATGAGCCATATTCTTGCTGAGCACCTTTATATTGATCATCTTGCCATTAGATGAATCCATGAAGTAAAGTCAGTCACATTTCACTAGCTCAGTAAGTTTTTAACTAGTTAAAAAACAAGTTTAATATACAGTACAGAGAGGTTATAGGAAAAATTAAATGGGAAAAGGGCCATTAAAGAAAACAGTAAAGTTATGCCCTCTTAACCTGACAGAACCCATTCCTCTCCCATCTCCATGTCTCTACTGATTAGGAAGGATTTTAACAACTACACAACATAAGGCTCTGGAAGCAGTGAAACAGACTTCTCAATAATTTTAACAATTTCTTTGTTAGATAAATATGTAAAATAAAATGTGCAAGAACTACAGGATCACAATAAAAATGAAGCTTTTCACATACCATCTATATTTTTTAAATTATCATGCAGTAACTCTCTTTCCTTTGGTATATAATTCCATAAATTCTTACACATGTACAACCACTGCCACAATCAGGATATAGAGCAAGTCCATCATCCCAAAGAGTCCCTTGTGCTATGCCTTGGAATCATACAGAACATGATTTTTTTTGTTGTTACTTTTGAGAAACACTCAGAGTGTGAGCGGGGGAGGGGCAGAGAGCAGAAGATACAGAATCCGAAGCAGGCTCCAGGCTCTGAGCTGTCAGCACACAGCCTGATGCGGGGCTCAAACCCACAAACCGTGAGATCATGACCTGAGCCGAAGTCGTGCACTTTATTGCCTGAGCCACCCAGGCGCCCCTGGAATGTGACCTTTTGAGGCTGGTTTGTCTCATGTAGTAAATCTTTGAAATCCATCTCAAGCATTACACATATCAATAATTTGTTCCTTTTTATACTGAATAGTATTCCACTGTACAGACTGGACCACAGATTATTTATTGTTTATTCATTCAGCCACTGAAGAACATATGGGTTGCTTCCAGCTTCTGGCTACCACAAATAAAACCACTATGAACAACCATGTATTAATTTTTATGTGAATTTAATTTTTATTTTGTAGTACAAATACCTAAGAGTGGGACTGCTGAGTCAAATGGTAAAAATATGTTAGCTTTGTAAGAATATGCCAAACTGTTTTCCAGAATGGCTATACCATTCCACATTCCCATCAAAAATATATAAAAGTGCCAGTCACTCTGCATTTTTGCCAGCACTTAGCCAACATACTATTTTTTTTTTAATTTTTTTAAAAGTTTACTTAGAGAGAGAAAGACAGAGACAGAGTGCAAGCAGAGAAGCAGCAGAGAGAGAGGGAGACACAGAATCCAAAGCACGCTCCAGGTTACGAGCTGTCAGCACAGAGCCCGACGCAGGGCTCGAACTTGTGAACCATGAGATCATAACCTGAGCCGACGTCAGATGCGTAACCAACTGAGCCACCCAGGCGCCCCAACATACCATCTAATTTTAAAGACTACTTTGTATATCTACAAACTGTAGTTTCTTTTCAATAAAAATGCAAAAACATGAAATATGAAAGATAGTTGAAGACACCATAATTTCCCCCCAGTTATCTGTAAAATTCAAAAATAAAAAACAATCATTACATAAAAAGCCAAATTGAAACATTACATATTAGACCACTCAGGTTTTTTTTTTTATGGGAAATTATTCTCACTTAATCTCCTCATTTCCTGAGAAAAGGTAAAGCGGTCCAAATAAAATGGTGAGTCACTGTAAGTGGAATCTACTGAAAAGCCAGTTATGAGGAACAATCTTCTCATGGTTTGGATTTCAGTGTTTCCTTTCATAATATGAATCAAATATGTTTCTTTTCATAATAACCTCATAAAAGCCAAAAATTACAAGACAAGATTAGAATAAGTATTTTCAATTTTCAGAATAATAGTGTCCTTGTCCTATAACACCACCATATCCAACCTCCAGTCTCCAACCCCATCCCCTCCTCAAGGAAACAAAGAGACAAGTAATGTTGTAGAAGATATTGAAAAACTAGTAATTTTCTCTAAGCATTTATTATAAGCATCCATATTAAAATAATGTTTTAATTCTTTGTCAATAACATATACTTCTTAAAACTCAGGGGCAGGTTTTGTGAACACTTAAGATTCAATTATTGGTAAACCTTTTCTCTCTTTTAAAAATATTCATGGAAGCATAATACACATCAGAAAAGCATATATACTCTAAATGTACACCTCACAGAACAAAAAGAGCCAGCATGCAGAGCATGAACAGAACTTTACCAGCCTCCCAGAAGCCCTCTTATAATCACTAACCAACCCCACTTTCCACCACCAAAGGTCACCCATTATTCTGACATCTAATGTGATAGATTAACAACTTCATATACTTTCTCTTGTATCTGACTTCTTCTACTCAATGTCTAGCCTGCGAGATCCAGACATACTGGTGCATGTAGCTATTGGTCATTTATCTTGTCACTGTTTAGAATTCCAGTGGTGTGAGAACATACTACAATCTATCTTCTACCATTGATGAGTCTTCAGGTAATTTCCAGTTCTGACTATTACAAATGTTGCTGTGAACAATTTTGTACATATTTTTTGGTGAACATATGAACACATTTCTACTGAGTATATACTAGGAGTGAGACCTACACTAATCATAGAGTATGCACATATTCAAACTCAATTTACACTTCTATCAGCAGTGTTTGAAAGTTTAGTTACTCTATATCCATGTCAATACTTGGTTTCTCTTCTCTTTGGTTCTGATAGTTTGCACACAGAAAAAAAAAAAAAAAAAAAAAAGCCAGCCAGCAGGAAAACCCATTTTCTAAAAGTGAAACCAATACCAAAATTAATAAAGATGACTTTTTAAAAATAATTAAAACAACATTTGATATGATACTATGAAATAAGGATTCTTAGAGAAAACTCTACCGTAACAGGTTTTTCTATGAAAATGTCTAGGGGATTTCAGTCAAGCTCAAACTTGAGTGAACTACTCAAAGCAGCCATCTCTGAAAGGCTACTGTATTTCAAGCTGTAGAAACACTGAATGCAGATAAGGATAAAATGGCTCTACTGATATGCATGTAAAAATTAATCCAAATAGGAAGAATTATACCTAGTTCTGGGGTTACCACATTTAAGAAGAAACAATGCCAAACCAGGGAACATTCAAAGGGCAAGAATGGTAACAAATTTGGGAAGAGTTTTAGATAAGGAAGGGTTGAAAGTATTGTGATTCTGTAGACTGGAAAAGAGAAAACTTAGGGGAAAACAATATTTAAATTGGTTAAGTTTGTGAATATTATAACAAAAACTGTAGTTTGATGTAATAAAGAACTTTCTAGCTTTCAGAAAAATCAAAGGGATGCTTGAAAATACAGTGAGCTCACTCACAGGTCATATCTCGCGGTCCGTGAGTTCGAGCCCCGGGCTCTTGTGCTGACAGCTCGGAGCCTAGAGCCTGCTTTGGATTCTGTGTCCGCCCTCCCCTCCCCAACTCATGCTCTGCCTCCCTCTGTCTCTCAAAAATAAATGTTAAAAAAAATATATAGTGAGTTTTTCAGAGCTAGAAGCATTCAAGCAAAAGGTGAAACAGTATAGGAAAAAATTCTTGTTGAAGTTTCGACTAAATGAACCTTAATGTTCCTCCAACTACGACAAATTAACCCTGAGCAATACTACCAAAAATAAGTAGCAGTGAGGCATTGTGGCTGAGTTAAAATATAAATATCCATATTACTTAACCATAATTAGTAAAGGAATCAACTACTTTTACTATATAATATTAGCAAAATAACATTTAAAACCTCTGTAGTATAAGTCTGTATTAAAAAATACAGGACTTACAAAAAATTTTTTTAATAACAATTAAAAAAAATCAACTCCAATTACTCTAAAAATCATTCTAATCACTCAATAGCTACTTCATTTATATCTCAATATTGGTCATTTCTACTGCCACTCCTTAGTGGAAATGAATACTAAAGACAGGAATTAAACTGATTCTTGGAACTTGGGAACACTGAGGCTTTTCAAGCAAAATAGAAAAGATTTTCTCAAAGTGGGAAAGTCTATCTAGGGAAGGAAAAGAAACAAAGGAAAGAGATGTCAGCACTGTAGCCTATCCATCCATAGAAACAGCTTCTCTGGCAAAGTCCGTATTTATTTTATTCTAAGAAGAGAAAAATGTAGGAAAAAAAAAAACAATCAAAAAGCTCCTATAGGGCAAACTATAATTTATCTACAATACATAAGATTCAAATACAAAATATATTTAGAGAAAGTGTTGAAATTATTTTATTGGCAGACAAAAAAAAAGAGAATGCACACACAAAATATATTTGGAGAAAGTGTTGAAATTATTTTACTGGCAGACAAAAAAGAGAGAGAGAGAGAATGTGTGAGCAAGCGCTTAAATAGATGTTACATAAAAAACAGGGTTTTTAATTGCTGGCACAGGTAATTTAACAACTCCACTAACGTTTGGTTGGATAAAATAGGTAGAAATGTCTTTCAGTCTCTTATCTAAATGTTTCTCTTCCTTACATTCCCTCTGCAGTTCAAAGATGCTGAATCTCAACCAAGGTAAGCACACTATTTCCATCAAAAACAGGATAGCCTGGTATCTTAAGTTTAAAACAAATAAGAAGATGTGATTAAGTAGTATATTACTTCTTTGAATGTTAGGACATTCTTATATGTATTAAGATCAAATTTTATCACAGAATTTAAGTTTAACTTTCAATTTCAAAACTGCCATACTTAATTTGTTTCAGCTGTAGTGTAAATTTTATTGGTTTATTAAAGAAAGTTACTTTAGAAACAAGAAAGGTAACAGAAGTATCTAGGAACATGCTAAAGACCTTAAGTATCTGCCTTTCCCAAAGTTCTCTAAAAATAATGTCATCCAGAAGAAAGATTTTTCACATTTAACTGCTAAGAAAAGCAGTATTTCTTCTGAATAACCCCGTATCTTCTATCTTGTGTCTTATCAATCATATAAACGAGTGTTTCCTCTTAGGTAAGGCAACCAGAAACATCAAAACTAAATCTATAATTTTCCTGTAACAATTGTGCAATAACTTAACAGTGTGTACACACCATCCTACGCTTTTTCACTTTCCATGCTAATTCCATTAGCCACTTTTTAAAACTGTTGTCTACTAAAATTCTAAAACCAACCTCAAATCCTCTTTTAAACCAATCAAATAATAAACACCAGCAAAAAATAACTAATGTCATCCCTCTTTAAAAGTAATCAAGATTCTAGAGCTTGGAAGAAAAGCAGGGGTAGTGAGCAAATATTTACTAAGTGACCATGGCTAAAAGAGCTGTTTCTAACTGAAAAGAAAAATTATAATATATTCTACCTTTCCCAATTTCCTAACGTAACGTTTGAAAAGACTCCCCTTTTTACCTTTCTTTTCTTCCATTATAACGCTATAAGTGATGAAGCATCTTCCCTATCACTAGAGAAATTCTTTAGGAGATAAGATCACTTCAAAACAAACAAGGCAAAAAGTAAAAGCTTGTTTCCTCAACAGACGTGGAAACCATCGTTCCTGTCACTGTACTGCCACAGAGTATATTCTCTGAGATCGGAGCAGCAACAGGTAAAGCAAATGTGCAAACACTGTTCTGTGACTGACAGATGGAGAGCCTACTTGCCCTGTCGTCAAATGCAGAGTTCTAGTGTCAACTGCGGAGCTATTCCGGACTCTAGCAAGGCCATGGCTTCCCTACCTGCTCTGCTTTCCTACCTGCTCTTTTACAAGTGCCTTTTCCATACATCAGTGGTAATATATTTACTACTCTAAGGGCAGGTCATTTTTTTTTTTCTGGGGGAAAAAGGAGGAAGATGATTTTGTAATAAGTGTTTTTAAATGAGTTCTACAAGTGTAGCTGAAAAAGCAATGTAATTTCAACAACTCAAGTTTGTGAAATGGGAAGTTACAGGAGTAATTCAGAGATTCCCCGAACTTTTCCAACAGCATTTTCTTTTCTCTTCCCTGAGTCTGAAAGATTCTAAACCAATGATAACTGGGACCAAAAATATGTCTAAAGATAAGCCTCCTGTCTCAACCCTTGTAAACCCTTAAGGCAATGGCTCATAGGCATTAATTAGCCTCTCAGAATCACCTGGCACACTAGTTACAACACAAATTGCAGGGGGGCACCTAGCTGGCCCAGTTGGTAGAACACACAACTCTTGATCTCGGGGTTGTAAGTTGGACCCCCACGTTGGGTGTAGAGATAAGTTAATAAAATCTTAAAAAAAGAAGAACACCACCAAAAAAAACCCAAAACAAATAAAACACAAATTGCAGGACCAAATCCCCACTTTCTGATTCAGCAGATCTAAGGCAATGCCTGGGAGTCTGCATTTCTAACAAGTTTCCAGGTGATGCTGATACTGCTTGTCTGGAAATCACACTTTAAGGATTGCTGCCTTAATGCAGCAATTAGTTAAAATAATATCTTGACTAAAAACAGTATATAATAAATATAATAAAGTTTATAAAAACAGTATATAATAAAGGTTTGGCACCCTACTCCAAAACAGAGAATCATGGTTGAATCCAATGGTTTCTAAACTTTGAAAAAGCAAGTGCCCTCAAACATAGTTCACAGTACTTAAATTAATACAAATATTACTGGGCACAATGAAGTAAAATACTAAGAAGAGCCTTAAGAATAGTAAGTAATCCTATTTGCCTAAAGGAATAATTCAAGGAAAAAACCTTATCTATGCCAAAATATTCACTCAACATCACTTACGATCTCAAAAGCTGGAAATGACACAAATGCCAAACAACTGGAAAACAATCATGCAAACTATAATATACTGAATAAATATTATCTGACCATAAAAATGATAGAGAGTGAAGACTATCATATGTGGAAAAGTGGAGACAAAGTATTTAAATGAAAAAAGTAGAACACAAAACTGCTCATAACAGCATGTTTACTAATAAAAAACAAGTTTTTTTATCAGTAAAAATGTAATATTTAAAGTGAAGTAGACGTAATATTTAAAGTGAAGAGACATCTAAGACATAGTATTTTTATATGACATTCAAAGGCAGTCAAAGTATTTTATAAAATATTTTGAAGTAGTCTCTGCTCTAAGGATTACAACAACCACCTAACCCATTGAAGATTAATGTTAATAAAGTATTTTTTAAAAATATTAAAAGTAGAAAAATGGCTTAAAATTGTTTTTTAATTCTCAGATAATACTTCTTCAAAACTGTACTCTGAAGAAAGGAAACTCAGTAACTTACTATGTTGGGTAGAACTAGTAAAATTTCTTGAACCAAATATGCAGAGAAATTATAAAAAATTATAAAAGAAATTATAAAAAAAACAAATTATAATTAGGAAAAAAACTGGGATTCAGAGCCTAGTAATAATCTAAGAAAAGTACTTTGAAAAGATTAATCCAATAATATGGGGAATATATAGCTGTTACAAATATCAACTTTAAGGTATAAAACTTACTGTTTTGATTCATTGTGACAGACTTCCAAGGTTGGGTCATTATAAATAAAAGCAGCTTCTAAATCATTGATCCTTACTCGGTATATTCTACACTGTTTGCTGTTCAACTTGATTCTATTCAAGTTTGCAACTGTGGGAAATATAGTCAGTTCCACGAATCCCTGCAATGATAAAGAATAATAACTTTGTTATAATTAAGACTGGTAGGTTTTAGAATATTTTTTTTTATTTCTACTACTTATACTTACTTATACCACTATTTCTATTACATTCCAGAGACAGAATCCCAAATAGCTACATATATATGTGTTCTCTGAGTATCTTCATTTCAAACACTATTGTCCTAATGAATGAACAGGTATGAATTATATAGACTTTATCTTCTTGGTGATTCACATTCACCATCAGTGAAAACTGGACCATGTGCCAGAAAAAAGTAAAAGGACTCACACTCTCAAATACAAGGCTTTCTAGACAGACTGGAACTCAAATAGGGAAGAAGGAGAAAAAAAAAAAAAAAAAAAAAAAAAAAAGAGCAGAAAGAGAATCAAAACCAGTTTGGTGAGTAAAAAGAACATGGCCTTCCAGGGGCGCCTGGGTGTCTCAGTCAGTCAGACGTCCAACTTCGGCTCAGGTCATGATCTCGCGGTTTGTGGGTTCCAACCCCATGTCAGGCTCTGTGTTGACAGCTCAGAGCCTGGAGTCCGCTTCGGATTCTGTGTCTCCTCCTCTCTCTGCCCCTCCCACACTCATGCTCTGTCGCTCTGTCTCATAATAATAAATAAACGTTTAAAAAAAAAAAGAAAAAGAACATGGCCTTCCAAAATGGGAATCAAATGGGAAAGATGGGTCAATGGAACATGACACATATGTCCAGTGTTTTTAATATGATGGGTTAAAAAACTGATATACTCAAGTGTGAAATATGGGAAGGCATGAAATAGCATTTCAAGGGCTGCAAACTGAACAGGAAAATTTCAGAACCTGCAACACAAATAGCTAAGATGAAATGGAGGCAGCAACAACAGAGGGCTCAAGTATAACCATTCTAATGGCTTTAGAGAGCAGCACTGTGTGCCAGATGTTACACTAGATACTCTCATATGTTCTCTATGAACTGAAAAAAGTACTACTTTACGCTTTTTACAGATAAGTTAACGAAGTTAAGAAAATTATGTAGGGGTGCCTGGGTGGCTCAGTCGGTTAAGCGGCCGACTTCGGCTCAGGTCACGATCTCGCGGTCCGTGAGTTCGAGCCCCGCATCGGGCTCTGTGCTGACAGCTCAGAGCCTGGAGCCTGTTCAGATTCTGTGTCTCCCTCTCTCTGACCCTCCCCTGTTCATGCTCTGTCTCTCCCTGTCTCAAAAATAAATAAAAATGTTAAAAAAAATTAAAAAAAAATTATGTAATTAATAAGTGGAGAAATGACATTCAAATCTACATCTAAACGATTCCAGTGGAATCCTAATATACCGTGTTTCTTGTACAGGGCTTTAAATAACATGAAAGAATTTTTTTATAAAACACTTAGCCTAACTGCTCAAAAGCACAGAGATTCTGCAGCCCTTTTTCCCCACCACTTCCCAAATAAGAAGACAGCCATACATCCATAAATTAGACTCTCTACACAGATCTGCATGGTAGCAAATGAGAATAGAAAGAGCAGAGGCCAAAATACTGTTAATGAAAAGCTCTGTGTTTAAAGGCATAAACTATCAGCAACTGGAGGGGAAAAGACCAAAATTCTTTTAATTAGCCTATCAGCAATCCATTGACCAATCTACATAAATAAGCTTGGATCAGCTGAAAGCAAGCAAGCAGAATCAAAACAGCAAAAGTGTACTATAATAGAAAAAATTATGGAAAGTGCTTTAAGTCAATAGTTAGGTTACATGGGTGGGGATAGAAGAACAGGATTTGGCTTTCTTGACTAAGGTTAACAATAACAAAACAGTGAATGGAGTATATTTCATGAAGATAGGGAAAGCCCAGTCTCCTCATATCATCTGGTCTCTGACACCACCTAGAGCCCTAACCTCTATCTGCCTGCAACATTCAGACCCATTAACTTCCACAAGACTCCACTCTCTGTCGTCCTTGGCCACTGGCATTACTGCAAGCTTGTCTGGTCATGTAACCTCTCACTCTCTTCTGCTTGCTTCTTGTTCCCTCCCAACCACTTCACAGCTGACCACCTTCCCATCCTATTCTAAATAACCTCCCCTGGGCCATTCAACCTTTTGAAAAATTCCTTCTCTACCTTCCAGCCTTAGATGAAATATCTCCTGAAACCCCTTTGACAAGAAGCTACTTATTCTTTCATTCGCTGTAAATTAGGAGAGGGGAAAACAGAAAACCTTTTAGTTTCATGTGCTACTCTAGACCACTCACAGAATTTTATATAGCATATGCTATAAGAGTAAGGGCAGTATGTCATTATTAAATACATGGTTTACGGGGTGCCTGGGTGGCTCAGTTGGTTGAGTCCAAGTCTAGGGTCTAGAGCCCTGCGTTGGGATTCACTCTTTCTTCCTCTGCCCCTCTCTCTCGCTCACTCTCTATCCCTAAACTAAAAAAAAAAAAAAAAAAAAAAAAAAAAAAGTATGTGTTCTGGAGGTAAACTGTCTGCATTCAATTCCAAGCTCTACCACTTAGTGAGTGTATGATCTCGAGTTACTTACTCTAGCTCTCAGTGTCTATTTCCTCCTCTATAAAACAAGAATAATGACAGTACCTACCTTTTGGTGGTAAGACAACTGAGCAATACATGGAAAACACTTAAAATCATAGTGGACATCTAAGAAATGTTATTATTCTTTTGTATTTCTTTTTCCTTTAGTCATCCCATACAGATCCACAAACCTCTATTCCTCTTCATTACTACCTCCCAAATTCCCCAACATTCACTGAAGGCTCATATGCAACTTTTCTAACCCATCTCTACCATAACTCTAAGTGATCTGAATGTAGATATATCTGATCCATACAGTAACCCTGCTTCAAAGTTCCTTGACCTTAATTCCTACAATCTTTACTTCTATTACAGGATAGCAATCAAGATTACACTCCAAAGATACATCATCACTGCCCAGAATTACTCCCAAGCTGACATTTTAAACTTGAGTGTCCACAATGCTTATCCTTCTGCCCCTCTTATTACTTCTCAGTCTTCCTGTTCAACCACATGAAGTCCTGTTCCTGGACCTCCTCCAGTTTCTTACTAGTCCTTCCTGGCATTTTTACAGCACTTTCTTTTCCATTTACTGCAGATCCTTAATTTCAACCACTGTTCTGCCAAGTATCAATTCTCTTGCCTTCCAGCTACATGTATATATCTTTCCCTAACTGTTCAAAAATCAGCCATCCACTGGGGGCCATACTCTGCAGTATTCTCAAAAATCCCGCTCTATTAACTACCCTATCCTATTAGTACAGGATTTTTTTTCCTGTGCCTATAAACATGTTCAAGTCTGACATATACTTTAAAATCTTGAGATCTACATCACACTCAAATAAACTACTTTTTGCCCTTATACTGGAGTTGTCTTATCTTGATTCTGAACTGACAATCCCTGGAGTCCCAAAACCCTACCATGGTCTGGTAGTCATACTGGAAGTCTTTGGAGGTCAAGTACTAAAGGGGATAACAGTCCAAGGCTATTTCAGAGTAGGACTCATGCCTACTCCACCAGTCCTAGAAACTATAGTAAATCAAAGCAACTAGACATCCCTTGAGGAACTGCAGAGATTAGTGCCCTCTAATATTTGGAAGATGCTTACTACATCTTAACTTATTTGGCCAATGCAAAAGTCAAGGTTTCAAAGAATGATGGTGAATTATCACAAATCTGTCAACTAAACCACAGTTATAGATATAGTATTTTTATACAGCAAATCAGCATAGCTCTTGGTAACTAGTATCATAGCTAATTATCAAACAAATGTTTTTTTCCCAAAGAATTTTTATCAGGAAAAAAAAAATCACAGATTGCCTTCAAAACATCAGAATGCCTTCACTGTCACCTAATAACTAAAAACTATACCAATTCTCCTGCTCAATCAAAACATAGTCCAAAAGTACCTTGCTTCCAAGATAGCCCATAAAGCATTATACTAGTATATTATATTGACAACATTATGCTAACATGACCTGTTGGGAAGGGAAAGGAATTCTCCAAATGTTTTAATAAAAACAAGGGTGGCACAGGATGAAAGTTAAATCCCGTTAAAGTTCAGGAGCCTGTCACATTAACAAAGCTTCTAAGGTTCCAGTATTCTAAGGCATATAAAAGTATTCCTTCCAAATGAAAAATAAGTTGTTTCATTCTGTACTGCTCAGCAAGGTACAAAAAACTGCTCAGGAAGGGACAAAAAACTTGGTGGGCTTCTTTGAATTCTGGAGGCAATATATACATATGGGCATTCCGCTTACCAGGCAACCTATTACACTGTCAGCTTTGAGAGGGGTCCAGACCTGGAAAACGTTCTGCAGCAGGTCCAGATTGTGGTTCAAGCTGCCCTGCTATTTGGGCTTTATGACTCAGCAGATCCTATGGTATTTGAAATGCCTATTGCAGATAGAGATGCTGTACAGACTCTGGCTTTTTCCAATACAATGACAGTGCAAATTCTTGAGGTTTGAGAGGAAAACCACAACCTCTCCTGTCACCAACTATATTCCATTTGCAAAGCAACTACTGGTTTGCTTCTAGACCCTTCAGTAGAAACTCAAACATGACCATGGGACTCCCAACGACTATGTTACCTGAAATGACCGTGATGAGATTGAGTGTAATATAAAGCTCTGAAAAACAAAAGTGGGCATGTGCAGCAGTTGTCCACTTTTAAAAAGACAACACATCTGAACCAGACCCAAGCAGGGTCATAAAGTACAGGCAACAGCATGAGCAGATGCTCGGAATCCATTAATACTTCTTCCACTGCTTCTCTACCTCTCTTTCAATTTCCATCTCAGGCCTCAAGGAGAGTTCCCCTTGTTCAGTTAACAGAATAGAACAAAGCACAAGCCTGAATTATGAATAAGCTCACAGGATGCTAGGACCAGCTGGAAGTGGGTGGAAGCTGCCATTAGAATGCCACTGAAGTTGGGGCACCTGGGTGGCTCAGTCGGTTAGGTGTCCAACTTCAGCTCAGGTCATGATCTCTCAGTCCGTGAGTTTGAGCCCCACATTGGGCTCTGTGCTGACAGCTCAGAGTCTAGAGCCTGCTTCAGATTCTGTGTCTCTCTCTCTCTCTGCTCCTCCCCTTCTTGTGCTGTCTCCTGTCTCCAAAATAAATAAACATTAAAAAAAAAAAAAAAAGAATACCACTGAAGTGTGACCCTGGGAGACAGTGGAAGAAAGTCCTACAGCAGACAGAACGTTGGGAAATACGTCTGGCTGTACACTCTTTGTAGTAGAGATGACCTAAAGTACACAACTACACTGACCCATGGGCAATTGCTAACAGGATGGTTAGGAACCTGGTAAGAACAAACTTAAAAGACTGAAAATAGAAGATGGTAGAAGACGTATATTAATGGATTTCTCAGAACAAGTATAATGTGAAAATATCCATGTTATTATCACATAAATGGCCATCAGAGGGCATCTACGGCAGAAAGGACCCTCAAAAACCAACTGGCAAGATGAAATAGATCTCAAAGATTCTTTCCCTAGACACCCTGCTCGATATACAAAGTGGTCACGGAGGCAGAATGGAGGCTATGCATGAGCCTAACAACATGGTCTTCCCCCCGCCGACATACACACCAAAGATGATCTGACTACCACCACTGCTGAGTGCCCACTACCAGTAGTAGAGGATCATACTAAGTATCCAATATGGTACTGGAAGGACCAGTTAATCACTTGATAGAATGACTACATCAGACAGCTCATATCAAGAACATGATATGCCCTTACAAGAACAGACACATATTCTAGATTTTCCTTCCCTAACTACAACATACTTACAGAAAATCTTATATATCATTGTATTATCTCATACATACCTCCAACTTAGTGTATAGGAAAGTGTGGTTATGGATTCTTACATACAAAATTTACTAGTTTTATCTTGTACCCAATTATCCAGAAGGACTGGCATGATCAACTGCTGTAGGCTTAATTACAGCACCAACTCAGAGACCTACAACAGGATGCTGTCTTAACTAGTGTACCATATATATAGAGACATCTCTCCAAAGCCAAAATAGACTGCGAACCAAAAGGTAAAAATTGGAGTGACTATTCTCACTATTGCATCAAAAAAACCACGGAAGGAATTTTTGCTATCTTTGTAACCTTGTGTTCGGTTCGGTATGTTTGAGCAACAGAAAAATGCATCCACCAGGGCATATAATCATGGTTCCATTTGGAAGCTGAGACTGTCACTTGGCCACGTTAGGTTCCTCATGTTATGGAACCAACAGAGAGAGGGTCACTATACTGACTGGAATGACTAATCTCAATTACCAAACAGGAACCAAGGTTCTGCTATACAGTAAGAACAACAATTATATCTGCGGTTCACAGAGATTCACAGAATGCATCTCAGGGTCACTTGGCCAATAGCACTAATCAACGGAAAACTGTAAGAACCCAAAAAAGACAGGACAAGCAAGGATGCAGATCCTACAGGAATGAAAGTCTAGGTCAGACCAACAGAAATGTTGGCAGAAGAAAAAGGAAAAATGGAATAGGTGGAAGAGTAACACAGCGGTCTATATCAACTTTGGCCTTGACACCTGCTAAAGAAAACAGTGGCTCTAGCAATTAAGTTTCACATTCTCTTACCCACTTTTCTTTCCACTAGTTTGTACGAAAGCTACTGGTGATATCTAATACCTTACATGGGAGTAGAGATGAGTTACCATATCCTCATGTGAATTCATTAGGTGAGGGATTGGCAAACTTTTTCTTAAAGGGTCAGATAGTAAGTAGATTTTGTAGGCCACACGGTCTCTGTCACAGGTACTCAACTCTGCCAGTGTAGCTCCAAAGCACTTTAGACAATATATAAATAAATGGGTGTGGCTGTGCTCAAATAAAATTTGTTACAAAAATAGGTAGCTGGCCATTGCCAACCTCTGCAATAGCGGATAAGACTTCGTTAAGTCCCCTGTGTTGGGAACACTAGCTTTTCTTCTCAACAAAAAACAAGGATGGCTTGGGGGCAAAACGGGTAGACTATTCTAGATATTCTCCTTTTGCCCCTCCTAATACACTATACACCCCAGGAGTTGCATTAACTGGGCACCAGCCCTTCAGCTTCTGGTTGGGGTGGTCAAATGGGAAGCACAAGGAGAAAACTGGAGAGGGGAAGGAAAGTGAGCCCATTACATTTATCCCTCCAGGTTCCTCCCTATCCAGCTAAGGGAGGCAGTAGCTTCATTCTTCTACCAAAGGCCACACCTCCTATAAGGTCACTCTGACAACTACTATAGTTTCTAGTAACTTCTTCCTTCCTTTGTTCTTTCAGGTTTAGAAGTAATAACTATTCCTTGTTGCTAACCTAGTGTGCCCTACCATCTCTTGGTTTCTCTTAACCCTGTGTCTTCTAAATAGTCTTCTTCTACTTTCCCTCAACCTACGTGAATATGCTGCTTATTTCCTTCTGGGACCCTAATCCATACACCAACCAAACAATTTTTCTAGTGGGAAACCCAAAAATCATTCACAACTCCTTCCTAACATTCTCAGTAAAAGTTATCTGCAATTCCTTTCCATCTCTCAATTTGGCAGGGGCAGAGGACGTTGAAAGGGGAAACAATGACAGAAAGGAGCTGCAGGTGACTCTTAGATCATCTATAATTAAAAAATGGGGGTGCCTGGGTGACTCAGTCAGTCAAGCATCCACTTCAGCTCAGGTCATGATCTCACAGCTCATGAGTCTGAGCCCCAAGCTGGGTTCTGCGCTGACAGCTCAGAGCCTGGAGTCTGCTTCAGATTCTGTGTCTCCCTTCCTCTCTACTCCTCCCCCGTTCACTCTGTGTCTCTCAAAACCAAATAAATATTTTAAAAAAAGAAAATTTTTTTAAATGGCTCAATCACTTGCTAACTTTACACCCTGAAGAAAGTTACTTAGTCTGAAATCTTTCAGCTGCTTGAACTATAAAAATAAAGGTAAAATAGTATCTATTTCATGGGGTTATTGTGAAGATTAAGTGAGGTCATACACATAAAACCTTACAACAGTCTCATACATAGTATACACTCAATAAATGTTCACTATAATTCAGTCAACCATATCAACTCTATTTCTATACCACTTTCACTATTGTTATTTTCCTTCAGGGCTTCATTGTAAGAATATGACAATAACTTCTTAACTAAACTCCCTAATTCTCCTATCTTCCCTACCCAATTCATACAACACAACACACCTAAAGTACCCTTCTGTGAAGTACAAGGTAAATACAATTGACCCTTGAACACAGGTTTGAACTGTAGAGGCCCACCTATATATGGATTTTGTCCTGTTAAATACAGTGCAGTGCTGTAAACGTATTTTCTCTTCCTTATGATTTTCTTAATAACATGTTCTTTCTCAATATTTATTATAAAAACACAGTATATAATAAGCATACCAATTATGCAGTAATGGACTTCATGTTATTGGTAACACTTCTGGTCAACAGCAGGCTATTAGTAGCTAAGTTTTTGAAAAGTCAAAAGGTATACCCGTATTTTTTAATGTGCAGAGGGTTGGGACGCCAACCCCTACATTGTGCAAGGGTCAGCTGTTATCATATGTAAGGAATACTGATTGAGAAATTTCTTTGAGGACATGGGACTTAATGAACCTTTAAGGATTCTATGATTCCTATGAAGAGGTTCCATTTTTTTAACTATATAGCTCATCTTAAGTAAACATATGAATACATGGATAACATCTGGGGGAAATTTCATGCCATCACATACACCTCCAAACAATAAATAAAAACAGCTAAGATTCTATTTAATACAAGTCCCCCCAAATTAAGCACTCAGGTAGCCAAAGACTTCTATATTCCAAGGATATATATGCAATCTATATGTATCAAACACCTTATCTAAACCTTTACAAAGCAATCCACCTAAACCAGGTCAGCCAAGAATTAGAAAACAAAACTGGCCTCCTAGCAGCCAAGTCAAGTCAATGAGAGCCCTAACCTTAATTTTTTTTTCACAGAAGAAATTTCACTATGGGCTTATTCTTGTTTCTTTCACAATTCTAAAATGCTTGGTGATACAGACTTTCACATTCCACAACTGATTAAATGGAATAAAATATTAACCTGGAAACAAAAATAAAAAAAAAAAAAAAAAAAAGAAAGGAAGGAAGGAAGAAAGAAGAATTGAGAAGGCAGCCAGTATAGCAGCAAGGCTATTCACCTTGGAGTCATACATATCTGAATCCCAAATCTCACCTACTCTTGAAACACAGTTATCTGGAAGTGAAAGTTTCTAAATATTGTAAAGGTGACTTGTTACGGCTTATAATTGTTGAGAACATACTCACCACAACAGATTTTCTCTGAAAGTTTATGTTGTTGATGCAGACGACCTGATGGGTTGTATATTAAAAAAAAAAAAAGTACTTTTAGTAAACGAAAGCATAAGCCTATTCAAGTATAAACAAGGAATAAGCAGCTCACAATACTTAATTTTTCCATTTAAAATCCTGCAAATTAAGGTAATTGCATGTTTTAAACTGAGCAAAACAAATGGAAAAAGATTTCTCTGGAAAAAAAAGACAGCAAGGTACTTTAAGAAAACACAATCAGGGCCCCTGGGTAGCTCAATCGGTTAATCGTCATACTCCTAATTTCAGCTCAGGTCATGATCTCACGGTTCCTGACATTGAGTCCCACCGTGGGGCTCTGTGCTGACAGCGCTGAGCCTGCTTGGGATTCATTCATTCTCTCTCTCTCTCTCTCTCTCTCTCTCCCCCTCTCTCTCTGCCCCTACCCCTGCTCGTGTTCTCTCTCCCTCAAAATAAACAGATAAAAAATATATATATATGAAAACATATATATATGAAAAAAAAAAAACACCTATTAACCAGCAAAGGACATTAAATCTGTTGAATAACCCTGTCATTCAAAACCATACACGATATCCAACAAACACCATTTCCATCACTGTAAATGGGTTCTAGTTTCCTACTAGATTTCCCAGGCTCACAAAGGCAGTTTCAAGCAATCACCAAGTATAATTAATAAAAACAAAAGCTAGAAGAGGAAAGGAAGATGAAAAAATACTTATAATTTATATGGCCTTGGGCTTTCAAAGCCCTTGTCTCCTTTCTTCCTGTTCATTCTGGCGGGCTCTAAACCAGTTGGCGGCATGAAGCGCTCCCACCGAGCTTGGCTTCCCGGTTTCCCGGGGGCTGCGGGGTATTACCGGCCTCCGGCACCTCCCACTCCTCGCTCCCCCTCGCTCCCGACAGTCATGCCCAGCGGCCAGGGCTCCCTCGGCGCCCACACCCGGCCCCGTCCAATCTGCCGCCGCCTCGAACTCGCTCCCTCGACCCGGCTCCTTTCAGCCCCCTCCGCCGAGCTTGTCACGAAGATGCTCCTCTCAGCAACCGCTCAAAGCCACCGTCAGCCGACATCTTGCCTGTCACCTCTAACCTCTGGAGTCAGCGGAAGTGGGACGGCGGCGCGGGCGGAAGCCGGAAGCTTTGGGTCAGAGGGCGGGGCTTGCACGATAGCGCTAGAGGGTTTCGCCTCTTTGACCATATATATTCTGTGGGAGGGAACTGTTAAAATTTAGGAAATACGACACAAATATATAGTGGCTTGCTAAGAACGGGACAGGAGGTTGGTGGGGGTGTTAGTAGCCAGGGATACATGAAACCAGGAGTGGGGGGGGTCCTGCTGGTTTGCTGTGTGAACAGACACCATGAACTCACCGGGCCCAGCTTATTTGGGCTGGAAAACGTGTAATTAGACCCCAGGTAGTCTAACTCAAACTCCACAGTCCTTACTAGGTACTGTTGCCTCAGTACTTTAAAAAATAATAATGCACACTGATAAGAAAACATTTATTGGAAAGACAAATATTTTGAAGCCATCAGTAACTTGCAGTTCATGTACAAGAGAATAGAACAATTGTAAATTTCAGTAACAGTTAAATCCCAGGTAATTGTAGATTAACATTTTTTTTAACCTTGGATCAGATTTAACTTTGGCCTAACCCCTCAAACTGTCCTGGTGACAAGTTTATTAGCTAAGGAAAAGTTAATTTGAACTTTGGTCTAAATGAATACAAATTAGGAAAATAAAGCTATAAACAAACTTCATCAAGCATTCCAAAACCAACTAGAAATTACCTGGCGTTTTCTAGTATTAGCTGTGTCAGTTTTACCCGTTATAGGATTATAAACTGCTCTATTAGCATTCTTCACAAAAGATTGAATATCAAATCCGTTTCATCCCAAAGTATATGTCTATACCAGCCAGGCAACACAGGAGCTATTACCAAGCCAATTTCATCCATGAAAACAACTAATTTAGATAACAGAACATCTAGCGACTCCCTGTTCTGGTGGAATGTTGAAAGTAGAGGAGAAATCCCTTGAGAAATGACATTTAACTGAATAAATTTCTCTTCCAGGAAACTATTACTATTTAGTTCTTTGAAAAAGCCTTTAAATTTGTTAATGATTAGAATATCAAATCCTAATTAAATGCAATTTCAAATATAAAAAAAGACAAAACTTTTTCTATAAATAAAAATGTGTAGACTCCTTAGGTATTCTAAATACAGTAAACACCACTCTCTTTTGTCCTTTACACTGTATGCATAATGCAAACATAACTTGAAAGATACAGAAATTTCCTATTACATTTAAGGGCAAAAAGAGCAGTAGTTGCAACATGCTTAGGAATGAGGAGAGAAATGCCTCAAGGCAGTATGTTCTTTAAAGTCTAGAATACAAATACATGAAAGAATCTTTTTCTTATATCCATCAACTTTATGAAGCAACTTGAGTCCCAAAGACTGTTGTTCTTTTAAGAAATGGGTCTTCTTGAGTTATAAACTTTAACACCATTTTGTATTGAAGAGCGAGAATATTTCGTGAGTAATGTACCTATGGTTTGCTTCTCTCCACACAAATCTCTGTGGAAACAATGAAAAAATAAATTAATAGCATGAAAATATTAGGGAACATAATATTCACAGTGCTAGTTATTTCTCTCTCATCTAAATCCATCTTTCCAACAAGCATAAGAATGTGTATATGTGAGGAGTACGTGGGTGGCTCAGTTGGTTGAGAGTCTAACTTCGACTCAGGTCATGATCTCACGTTCATGGGTTCAAGCCCCACATCGGGTTCTGTGCTGACAGCTCAGATCCTGGAGCCTGCTTTGGATTCTGTCTCCCTATCTCTCTGCCCCGCCCTGCTCATGCTCTGTCTCTCTCTCTCTCCCTCTCAAAAAAAGAAAATAAAATGTTAAAAAAATTAAAAAAAAAAAAAAAGAAAGAAAGAATGTGTGTTTGTGGGAGAGACAGGGTAGGGAGTGGTTACTAAGCCTTAATTGAACTAGGTACATTACATGTATTACCTCATTTAACCTTCACAGAAAGAGTAAAAGTAATTTATTATTTAACCCCACATTAGATATGAGGAAACTAGGGGCCCTGGGTGGTTCAGTCAGTTAAGCGTCTGACTTCGGCTCAGGTCATGATCTTGCGGTTTGTGAGTTCGAACCGCGCGTTAGGCTCTGTGTTGACAGCTTGGAGCCTGCTTCGGATAGTGTCTCCTTCTCTCTCTGCCCCTCCCCCACTTGTGTGCGCACGCGTGCTCTCTCAAAAATAAATGTAAAAAAAAAAAAAAATTTAGATATGAGGAAACTAGCTCAGGCAGCCAAGGATGGAACCAAATTTTGCTGCCAGGTCTGCATGGCTCCTGAGTCCTTCCCCCCCCCCCCCCCAATTCTATCACACGGCCTCCACATTAGAAATATAAGCCATGTAATACAGGGAGATCTAGACACAGAGACCCTGCATTATAGGCTACCTATGTGTGCTTGCCTGGGTTACCTACCCTCCCTCAACTTGAGCTTCCTTTCCTTTACCCCAAAGAGGAGAAGGCTATGACTGGAACACATGAAGGGAAGGAAGGACAAAAGAACAGGAGCTGGAGAAGGAAGCAAGGGCAAGATCATACAGGGCCTTAAAGAACATGGAAAGCAACTGTGATTTCATTCTAAGTATAAAGGGAAGTCCCTAGGAGGGTTTTAATGAATGGAAAAACAGAATGTGACCTGAGTTGTAAATAATGGAGGCAATGAGTGGATTATGGAAGCTGAGTGATGAGTAGAGGGAGGGTTCATTATGTTATATTGTCACTTCTGAATGTATAAAGTTTTCTAAAATAAAAAGGTTGAAAAGGAGAAGAGGGGAAGAGGAAAAGTGTAAGTAGGGAGACCAATTCAGAGGCAGGTACTAGATGCTCCATTAGGATTTGCTCATAGTTTGAACCAGGGGGTGAGGGAAGAAAATGACAGCTGGGCTTCTCACTTGAGTAAGTGGATTAATGGTAGTGCTGTTAACTGAGATGTGGAAGATGGGGTCAGGACAGCTCTGTTGTGAGCATGGCAGGTTAAAATTCCTCTTAGATATCCAAGTGGAAATGTTCATTAGGCAGCTAGATAAGAGAAACTAGAGCTCAGGGAAAACATCAAGTGTGAAGATAAAATTAGGAAGTCTTTAAATTTAAATTCAAGCCTAGATGAGGGCACCAAGGAAAAAACATAGAAGAAAAGATGGCCAAGAATGGAGTCCTGGAACACTCCATTTAAAGATTGGGAAGAACAGGGAGACATCAGCAAAAGAGACAGAAAAAGAGCTACCTTGGGAAAGAAGGGAAAAAACCAGTGTGTTTCAAGTAGAAAGCAGTTGCACAGTGTCAAACAGTGCTAAGAGGCCAAGAAACAAGACAACTGACCACTGCATGTAGACAAATGGATGCCATCAGGTTAAGATGCCATCAGCTTAAGGAAAGAATGGGAGCCAAAGTAATATAAAGGTTTTTTCAGTGTTTTTATTTATGAGACAGAGAGAGACAGAGAGACAGAGAACAAGTGGGGGAGGGCCAGAGAGAGAGGGGAGACACAGAATCCAAAGCAGGCTCCAGGCTCTGAGCTGTCAGCACAGAGCCCGAGGTGGGGCTTGAACTCGTGAACTGCGAGATCGTGACCTCAGCCGAAGTCAGATGCTTAACCAACTGAGCCACCCAGGCGCCCCAGAGACGAAGTAATATAAATGAGTACTTTTAAAAGGAGTTTCTTGTGAAGGAGAACAGAGGGCATGGGGTCCGGTAGGTTGTTGTTGTTTTTTAAGATGAGCAGTACTACAGCATACCATATATTGGTGGGAATAATCCAGCAGGTAGGGAGACATGAATAACACAAGGGGGAAAAGGATAAGTAGAGGATATACGTCTTTAATGAGGCCAGAGGGATGGATCTAGTGCCGAAGGAGGATTGGCCTTAGGAGCTGGGATGGTTCATGCATTGTAGAGGAGGGACTGCAAAGGAAGTGTATGCAGACACAACACACACAGAGGCTGGCAGGTTTGGCAGTAGGAAAGAGGTTGTCCTTGTCTTTTCTCATCTGTTTCTATTTTCTCAAGAAATGAGGTCACAAGCTGAGGGTGAAGAGGAAAAAGGAGGTATTGATGATGCAAAAAGCAAAAGTATGAAAAGTGAGCTCCAAGGGTAGAAAAGTCTCATAAGGAAACGGTGCCTTGCCAAGAACTCTGCCAAGTACCACGTAAGCTCTTAAGTAAGACTGGCAACTTCCATTGTGTCTTTTTCTCCAGGAAATTCCACTTGCCCAGGTAGAGGCATAGAGGAAGCAGAAAGTTGGGTTTAATCTTTGCAGATTTTTGCCAGAGAGGTATGACAAGAGGGGGAGAGAGGGCAATAGGAGAAAAGCACACACAGTAGAAGCTAGAGATCCGAACCAGGAAATCCAACCTGGGGAAAGAGAGGAGAGGACATGAGAGGTAAGAAGTAAAGAGGTGGTAACGTTAGTGCACTTGAGGTTCTGTAAACAGTGACTAAAGAGCTAATCATTCTCCCTGAAATCTGGCATCTACCAAGATGTTAAAGCAAAGCAGCAGGAAAGATAGGAGGTGCCAGTCAGAGAGTCATAGTGGGGTACGTAGCCTTACTATTCCTCTAAGAGCTGCAGTTTTGCAGGGAGGAGGGCAGAGAAGTCGTTTTAGAGGCAGGATGAGGATGGAAGACAACACGTTCTCCAACCCCAGGATTGGAAGTTGTGGAGAACGACAGAGAAGACAATCCATTTTAGCAAATGACTTACTGAATATATGGAGCAATATCTTCTTCTGTCCACTTTTCCCTTAGAGAGAATAGACTATTAAAACGTTCTTGATTATCCTCAGGTAGATCATCTACTTTTAGCAAAAATATGATTTCTGGTCTTGACTGTCTATCCACCAAGGCTAAACCCTATGAAAAAAATGAAACGAAAAAGGGCAGTTAGAATGATGGTCTAATGTTTAAATATAACTCATTTTTACCTTTAGTTTCACCGGAGCCCAAGCCATTTAAAATATCAGTTATGTGAAACACACAAACTACAGAGAGACCTTCAATAGCCTTTTTCCCAAAACCACCTCCATTAAACAGTGAATTCTCCTTTTCCCTTCTGCAATTTATTGGCTCCTACTGCACAATTTATCAGGATAGCTCTAGTTCGAGGTTACCAATAACGTGTCCTTGACAAATCCAGTGGGCCCTTTCTTGGATTCATCTTGCTAGCCCTGTTTTCTTTATTCATGTTGATCCCTACCTCTTTGAATCTCTATCTCTGACACCACCATCTCATTTTCCTCCTACCTCAATGTTGCAGTTCCTTGGGCCTCTACCCTGACCCCTCGACTTGTCTCACTGTCACTGTCCTGGGTGGCTCAACCAACCTCAACTAAACCCATAACTATAAGCACCACTTACTTGCTAGATGGTGTGTGTGTATGTGTATATATATATATCTTCATGTATATACATATCTTCATGTATATACATATCTTCATGTATATACATATCTTCATATATATATATCTTCATATATATATCTTCATATATATATATCTTCATATATATATATCTTCATATATATATATCTTTATATATATATATATCTTCATATATATATATATATATATATATATATATATATATATATATATATATATATATATATATATATATATATCTTCATATATAAATCCCAACCCAAATCTCCCTTCCAGGCACAAGAACTCTATCCAAACCTATCTATGAACTCATTGTGTTTGTCACCCAAACCTGCTCTAGTCCCATTATCTTAGGACATGAGGAGACCTGGGCATTATCCTAGATTCCATTATTCAAACCCCATACCTAAGTGGTCACTTAATCCTATAGATTTTAAGGCCTCAACATTTCTCTATCGATGCTCCATCACCTAGTTCTTTAGTCAGTACTTTCTCAGGAGTACTTAAGTATAGAGAGCCTGGATAGTTCTCCTTTTTCACAATCTACCCAACCTTCCATCCAACCATCTTCAAGGTCAGTGTTCTTCCCAAAAGGCAAAATTCATCAGGTAGCTCTTTTGATGTCACTAAAGGGCCCCAGAAGAGCTTTCTAAATAGGGCTGAAATTCACTAGCACAGACCATAGTGTCCCTCAATGACTCACCAACAACTTCTACTCTAACTCTTCTTCATACTAACAGCGCCCCAATTTGTGTCCCTCCACGCCTTGGAACATGCTATGCTGGATCCTCATCTCTGCCCTTCCATCTTGAGAGTTAACAGTTCATTCTTTCAAACCCAGCAGCTAAAACAGCCATTCCTTCAGAAAATCATCTCTGATTGACCAGGCAGGTGAATAAGTCCCTTTTCTTTGCTCCCGTAACATCGTGTACACGTCCTTCCCATGACACAGATCACTCTACATTATTAGAAGAGATTTATACAGGTGATGTGCACCCCCCCCCATTGCCAGACCCCAGGCTTAGAACCTTGATGGCCCGTTGTGTGATGTTTTCCCCTCAGCATCTAGCATGGTGCCTAGACATAAAAGGAACTCTGTAAATACCCTGCAAATCCTTTCACGATTTAACAAATATTTACTGAGCATATGCGACAGACCAGGCAGTATGCTATGTATTGATAAGCAACAGTGAACAAAATTCTATCCAAATAGAGAGTAGGAAACCCACACAATTAAACATTTTCCCAGGGCTAAGCAGTAAGTACCATGAAGGAAAAACACAGGGTGCTATGGCCGAGTAAAATAGGAGGCATTTTTTTTAGAGTAAAGGGAAGCCTCCTTGATGAAGTGACTCAAAGATAAATAGGAGGTGGCAAGGCGAAATGACAAAGAAGGCCATTCTAGAACAAAAAGCCTTATGTAAAGGTTCTAAGGTAGGACAGCTTGGTGATCTTGAAAACGTGCAAGAAGGCTGCTATGCAGCGAGCAGGAGAGAAGCGGGAAGAGATGAAGCTACGGGGAAGATTATGAAGATGATGCAACAAGATGCGATACACCGGGTGGGAAGCAGGCTTAACCATACAGGGGCTTGAGGGATCTCACTGAAGTGACAGAAGTGTTCTAAAGCCAGTGACGGACTGAATGCACGGTGTGCTCCTAGCGGAAATGGCGACTGGGAAGATGAAGTGGCTCCAAACTCAGTTGCAATACAAATTTCATTTCACCCAACAGTTAACGATAAGCTGGTGAGTTATGGAAGCAAGCATGACTGCTACCTTACCTTAAGTTGATCAAGCGTGGTTATCATTCCTTCAGGAACACTCTGTTGCCACACTTCTTGAAACTCAGCCAGATTAAATTTCACTGCATTCTGAAGTAGCATCTGTGCTGTTGCTCTGCATATTTTATCAGCGCTCAATTCAAAATAAACTTCACCTAAGGAAAAGGGATCAGATGGTTTCATGCTGACAATTCAAAGCACTACTAACATTTCCTTTTCCTCAATGCAATTTCTCAGAAAAAATTATACACAACTCACAAGCCCGTGGAGTTGTTCTTTTTTTTTTTCAACGTTTATTTATTTTTGGGATAGAGAGAGACAGAGCATGAACAGGGGAGGGGCAGAGAGAGAGGGAGACACAGAATCTGAAACAGGCTCCAGGCTCCAAGCCATCAGCCCAGAGCCCGACGCGGGGCTCGAACTCACGGACCGCGAGATCGTGACCTGGTTGAAGTCGGACGCTTAACCGACTGCGCCACCCAGGCGCCCCGAGTTGTTCTTTTTAACAGGCACACGCTTCAGAAAGGCATACCAACTTTAAACATTTTTTTTTAATGTTTATTTATTTTTGAGAGAGACAGAGACAGAGTGTGAGTGGGGAGGGGCAGAGAGAGAAGGAGACACAGAATCCGAAGCAGGCTCCAGGCTCCAAGCTGTCAGCGCAGAGCCCGACGCAGGGCTCGAACCCACGAACCACAAGATCATGACCTGAGCCGAAGTTGGATGCTTAACCAACTGAGCCACCCAGGTGAACCTACCCCAACTTTAAACACACACAAGTTAAGATACTTTTCAAATCTTACCTTCCTCTATATATTTCTTTCCATAACATTTAAGACAGTGTTCAATCATTTCCCTGAAAAATTTAAAAATACTCATTTGAAAAGTTATCACATTTTTATGCATTACATCTTAAACACCTTTCCTAACTAAAATCTTAATATATAAATTTAAGATCTGAAATTCTAAGTGATTTTGATTGCCACGTAAAATTTTACACTAGGAACTAAGAAATAACAGGAAGCCATTATGTGCCAGGCCCATGCTAAACATTCTTACATGAATTATGTGAGCCTACACTTACTATCATAAGATAGCTTAAATAGAATTATTTCTTTACATTTTTTATGGCAGGAAAAAAAACAGAGATGATGCACATTTACTCAGCCTAGCGACCAAAATTCCTAAGCTCTTCCTGGTTATATATTTTTTAAATGTCTATATGATATCCAGTTATAAACAGCCTATGCCCTGGGTTTAGTGCCACCCTGAAAAATAATTTTCTTTCCTTAAAGGAAATGTGGAGGGACAGCGATTAAAATACTTACTCTGGCTCCAATGGCCCAAGTTCCTGAAGGCACATATTCAAAGGAACTTTACCAAAAGACCAAGATTCAGAATCCACAAGCTGAGTTATGTGATTCAGAAGTTTCATCTCATAATCAAAGTCAAGAATCCTCCAATAACCTACAAATTCCAAATGTAATCTTTACCAAAGTACATCTTAAGCAAATTAATTGGTTAAATGATCGATAAAGAAGAAGCGTGCTCTTGCCCGGTACAAAAAAAGAGACACTAAAGTCTTAGCTTTCTTTATAAGCAATGCTTCTTTTTATGCTTTTCTCCTAATTATTATGAATTGTGTCTTAAGAGAAACCAAGCAGTTTTTAAAAAGTACCTTACATAGGACTAACACTGATTTTTTTCATGTACTTTAACACTCAATTATCTCAGAATAATCTTGTCAATCTAAATGGAAATGTGGAAACCTGTAGCTGGAATAGTGATTTCATTAGAACGTCATACAAAGGAGGTGAAGACTGTAGGTTTGATATCCCACACGCTGAACTCCGCTGTGGGGCACTTCCATGGTTCTAATTCTCATCCCAGCCGTCTTGCAGAAGTGTTCTCGTGCTCACAAAGAAGCCTAGGTCACTCAAGAGTCAATAGATGCAGAGGTACAATGTGAACCAGTGGCAAGATAAAATCAGGGCATCAAGATACCTCTCCCTATTCTGGTAAAAGATCATGAAATGCTATCTTATAATCGAAGGCTCTACCACGATCCCTGGAGAAACAAATCAAGCACAAATCCACCATTTCCAAGGAAGAATGTTACTATTGCTATTCCGAAAGAATCAAGGCAACATTAGAAAAGGGAATGTGTGATGTCAATCTCAGAAACAATGCTAGGAATAATCTATGCACCCCTTGACACATACCAAAATCTTACCCATCCCCAGGCAAGAAATGACTAATACACAGGGCTGCATTAAAATCCATTGGTTTCTAACCTCAACACTCCTGGTACCCATATACCATGGTAGTTAACAGCAGGCATTCATCATTAAAAACTTTATTTCCAATGCTTAGGACCAAATGTGCTTCAAGGAAAAGCCCTGTAAGGAATGGTTGGAGTCACTGGTCACGGTTGACCTCCTCAGGTAAAGGTCACACAGTCTCGACCCCACCCCCAAAAATATAAATATCATCATCTTTAAGCCCAAAATAAAAGTAAATAGTGTGCAATAGGATCAAGATGGCCATAAATCTCTCTCACACATGATGCCCAATTCCATTCTTATGAATAATCACAGTAAGTAATGTTACCTTCAATCTCACAGGCATTTAGAACTTGTAATTGGGCCATTATTTCTTCCTCACTTGCCTGAATTTGATTAAGCAAATCTTCAGTTGTGTACTGAAACAAGAAAATAAAAAACCAGAAAACATTTTAAAGGCTTTGAAAAATATTTTCTTAAGACTTACGAAATTTGGGGGAATAAATACACAGAACAGATTAAGGCAAAATTTAGCCTTAATTTCTCTTTTTAATGTATAGTGATTACTACATGAAATCTTAGAAGAAAATCTTCATAATGTTGGATTTAGCAATACGTTGCTTAGATACAATACCAAAAACGCGACAAAAGAAAAAAACATAAATTGGACTTCATCAAAATGCAAAACTGTACTTCAAAATATCATCAACACAAAAGGACAAATATTACAGGATTTCACCTGTATGGAATATTTAGAACAGTCAAATTCATAGAGATGAAAAGTAGGGTAGTAGTTGCCAGAGGCTGGGAGGCAGGGAATACTGGGGAGTTAGCGTTTAAGGTGCATATTGGGAACGTGAAAGGTTTCTATGGATGATGCATGGTGGTCATGGTTACAGAACAATGTGAATGTACTTAATGCCACAAAACTATACACATAAAAACGTTTAAAACTGTAAATTTTATCCTACGTATATCACAATTTTTTTAAAAAATCAAAAGTACGAAAATAACCCACAAAATGGGAGAAAAGATAAACATATTTTTTTTTAATGTTTATTTATTTTGAGAGAGAGAGGGTGCTTGCGTGTGTATGCATGAACCAGGGAGGGGCAAAGAGAGAGAGGGAGAGAGAGAATCCCAAGAAGGCTCTGTGCTGTCAGCAGGGAACCTGACGTGGGGCTCCTGAGCCAAAATCAAGAGTCGAAGGTTTAACTGACTAAGCCACCCAGGTGTCCCTAAGCAAATCATATTTCTGATAAGGAACTTTGTAATTAGATTATATAAAGAAGTCTCCTACAAGTCAGTAATAAAAAGACAAATAATCCAACTAAAAATTGGGCAAAGGAGTTCCTGAATAGACATTTTTTCAGTGAAATACAAATAGTCAAGAAGTACATAAAAAGATGGTCAACATCACTAGTCATTAGGGAAAGGTACATCAAAACCACAATGATACAGGGGCACCTGGGTGGCTGGGTCTATTAAGCAGCTGACTTCAGCTCAGGTCATGATCTCACAGTTCGTGGGTTCGAGCCCCATGTCAGGCTCTGTGCTGACAGCTCAGAGCCTGGAGCCTGCTTCGGATTCTTGTGTCTCCCTCTCTC